AAGGTGGCGCAAGGGCATTCGAGAGCTAAGAACTGTTCTCAGGTAAATTTCGGGTCCTTTTGAGCTGCAGCAGACGCAACGATGCCCACTGACCACCCTCTACACGGACGAGGTTCCACCAAAGACCTCTGACGTCCCTCTACGAGTCTACAGCTGCCCTATCTGCCCTTTTGCACAGGTGAGGCTCAGATCAGGGCTCACCATAATCACAAACGTAGCTAGCTAGTCAGGTTGTGCGTGCTACGGTTTGCACATATGGCGAGTCGCAGGCATAGCTCGGACAGTCGTGTGGCGTCAAGGCATGTGTATAGCTAGGTGTAGGGAGTGGCTGCATGAAACATGAGCGTAGTTGTCTTCCAATCTGCAGTTGTCCTACGCCTTTGTCCCGATTTTTTGCTCATTCCATGCTAATAAAAAAATTATGTATCCAGCGAGTGAGACTGATTGTGGCAGCCAAGAACATCCCTCACGAGGAGGTCAACATTCACCTGAAGCAGAAGCCGGAGTGGTTCCTCTCCCAGATCAACCCGCACGGTCTGGTCCCCGTCATTGACCACAACGGTCACCTCATCAGAGAGTCTCGCATCGCCTTTGGTGAGTAGGTTTCACAGTGTATAATTAACCCTCGGCGCGCATGCGCCCGAGGGTTATAGTAGTTGGTCTGTGTGTGTGTGTGTGTGTGTCTGTTACCACGTTTTCTGCCACCACGCGCAACAAACCTGCCAAAAAGCGACACCAACAGGTTCAGCGCTACACTGGCTTCATTTTTAAATAGGTGATTATCCTAAAAATAATGCGTTCTAAAGTTATGGCGTGAAAAGAAGCCAATATGCTAATTAGCACATGCTTACCTCAACCGGGTCTGCTTGCTCTTTGTATCTTGAAGTCACAACGAAGGGCGTGTATCGACTTCCGCATGCTATCTACTACTGTAGCTAGCCCGTGTCTGACTCTCCGAGAGCTACTAGCGGGAGACCACGAGTAAACGCACACTACAAAGAGCCCAGCCCATCAATTAGCGGTACTGCACATGCACAGTTCGCCGAGGGTTTGCACTTTAGTGCTTTTCATTAGTTTTTTTATTTTTATGAAAGCCATTATTGGCTGTTAGTCTCATTCCAATACATAATTCAGCGACATGCAGTATCACTTTTTCTCACAATGTTTCCAGACTATGTCGATGCTGCATTTGAAGGCCCCAGTCTCTGGCCTGCTGACCCCTACAAGAGAGCCCTAGACCAACTCCTGGTGGAGGACTTTGGAAGCAAGGTATATACTATTGCTCAGTCTTTGTTGCACTGTAGTAGTTACTCCATAGTGGTGTTACTCTTGTCTATACAACACTCCCTTTTGTGACCCACTACACATCTCTATGGTACAACTACAATTGGTGAAGCAACAAGTCATAGGGTTATGAATCTGAAATTTGTCTAATATTGTGCAGCTCTCCCTTTCTCTCTGTTTCCTCTGTACAGTTCATTCCCAATTACTACAAGTACTACCGCGACACTGCCGACGAGTCAACTGCCAAAATTATCAGGGACTTCCTCAAGAGGCTCAACGATCTCGTTAAGTCTCGCCCAGGGGGCTTCGTGGCCGAGGGGACTTCCCCTGGTGCCGTGGATTACCTCATCTGGCCATGGCTGGAGAGACTTGCAGCACTCAAGCTTCTCTCTACTGGTACGTCTCTCTCTTTGTTGTTAATACCTCCACCTTGTATCTCCGAGAGACGTATTTGTGCCTTGTGTAGCATGCAAGCTTAACAGTTTGAATGCTCACTGCAGTTCTCCATTCCTCTGATAACTAGCTTAACGCCACAATAAAATTCAAAGTGAGCAAAACTGCCTATATAGAAGTTGAAAACCTTCCACACGAATGCTATATTTACGTGAAGTTATGTAGTATTCACACACGATATCTTCTCCATAGAATTTGCCGAGCAAACCAAGGAGGAGGATTTCCCAGAGTTTTTTGGCTGGGTGGAGAGGATGAAGGGAGTGGAGGCCGTCCGGAAGTCTTACCAGCCCCCAGAGGCCCATCTGGCCTTCATCAACTCGGTCAAGGCCGGAGTACACGACTATAGCCACGCCGATGTCACTGGCAAAGGCATTACCATCTATGCCAAGAAAGAATGAACTGAATTTCGTCAAAAATGGACACTACATAATTATATAGTTATTAGTGCAGCCAATTATAATTAACTTGCTTAGTGTTTTGTTCAATGTTTATTTGCAACAGATCTGCTTCAGGTGCTCACAAGTGGCAAAAAAACTCGCTGCTGCAGCACTGTACGTAAAAGCCACCCCACTCACAACCCACCAACCCACAAGAGAAGTATTACAGTTTACATGCAGCTCAAGACAAGTCAACACCAATCAAGCTATACATTTTAAGACTCTCTCGATAGTTTGATGTAGGATGGGTCAGAGTCCAGAAGTTCAGTGAGGGTATTGACCAATGCGGCAAACTTTGGTCTTTTCTCGGGACTGGCTGACCAACATGAGACCACCACTGCCCATCTGCAATAGACATAATATCTCTAAAGTAGTAGTTTACTAGAAGAATGTTGAACATTGCTGGCGAGCGGGAGCGACCCAACTGTCCGCGATGTCCGGGCTGCATAACGTGCCGTCAGCGCACAGCTTTCCTTTCGTGAAGCAAGACAGAGCTACCTGTCGCCGTTACATGCGCGCTGTATATTGCCAGAACGGTGAGCAGGTGAGCAGAACGGTCCTTACCTTATGCTTTCAGCTCGTCAGTTGCAGAGCTGCCAACATGTACAGGCAACTGTCAGTAAAAACCGTATAAAGTCAATCATCTTCCGTACAAACTTAGTGCGCATGCGCGCATCGATGCGGAACGACTACGAGCCACGAGCAAAGATGCTGCTAGGTATGAGGTAGAGCTATCTCTCCGTGGTTTCACGCCATCGTGGTGCTATTTTTTCAGTGTGAAATATCCGTATAAAGCTGCAAAGAAGTGATGATTCACGCAACTCCGTAAAAATTCCGTAGTACAGTATAGCAAATCCGTAAAAATACGGCGTGGTTGGCAGAACTGCAGTCACGGTCCACCAGGCAGCTGGCATGCAGCAGTATGTGCACGAGCAATCCTAGCGTATTTGCAAGTTGCAGCTTGGAAGCATGAAGATTGGGAAGAGGCCTCGGTCAGTCACCGAAGGTAAAGAAGCCGCGCATGCGCAATTACACGACGTACGCTGTTAATTACGCTCGAACGAACGAACGCACGAACGACTAGGTTGGCTCGCTCCCGCTCGCCAATTATAGACTATTGATCGATGTCATGTCAGAGCGTCGGTATATAGGGATGACGCGGGTGAAATATCACGTGATCCGCGTACAAATGCTTCAAAACTCGGCGAGAATGGCTCACCATGGCTTCAAAATCACTAGCAATAGTCTAGAGGCCAATACCTAGTTATATATATGCCCCAAGACCTCCTACGTGCCCTCAGTTCCCCACGAGAGAATTTGCACGTACGCCGATATTTCGACTGCTTCCAAAACACGCGCGCGGATTGAGAAGGCGTGGCCTTCCGCGAGCGATTCACAATGTCATCGATGTCTGATTCATCCCCAAGCAAATGGAGGGCAAAAGTACATCCGGGCGTTCGCTGGTTCATGATCTGCGTAGTGGTGGTAATTGTCGTCGTCTACCCTTACGTGCAAGAGCTCGACGTCACTTCCTGCAAGACTCCGAGTTCTAACATAAACGCAACTGCCCTCTTCTCCAACGTGTCCCGCCCTACTGCTCTCCCACTGTCGTCCGCCCTAGGCTCCTACAGGATCCTCTCCTTGCCCTCGGACCAAGTCATTATACGTGCAGTTTACCTTGATCTCCGCTCTAGAGAAGGCTTCAGAAATATCTCGGTGTTTATGGTTGAGATTACTAAAACCCTACTGGCACGGAAAGGAGGTGGAATAGTAGCCTGTGGTACCAGTGATGCGGTGACCAAAACCCTGAAGATACGTGTTGTTTTAAACATTGGCTGGGTTCACAGTAATCACCCCAGCCTAACCCATGACATGGCAATGATTGACTGCTTTGGACTGCCTGACACTCCGACTGGGGCTCGTGCCTTCCTCTGGTATCGTGTCGTAGATGGTGGAGACCTGTATCGTGTGGAGTCTGAACAACCTTACTACATACCGACTCCAAGAAACACAAAGAATAAGACTGTAGTATGTATGGCTGTTCTATATAACACTCCCCCATACTTGATAGAGTTCCTGCGATACTACAAGCACCTTGGTGTGGACCACGTCTACATGGTGGCAGACGACAGCATTGTGCAGACGGCTGCACTTGAAACTGATGGATTCGTCCAAGAGGCACTGAGAGAGGGGTTCGTATCGTTCTCTTTCTGGCACAAGTGGCTCACAAACAAAATGATATTTTACTCATCACAGATGCTTGCCTATGAAAATTGCATCTACAGGTTCCAGGGGACATACGAGTATGCCTTGCTCGTCGATTCAGACGACCATTTCATTCCCCGTGTCCAAGACCAGAAGAAGTTGGATTACTACATCGAGCGTTTCTGCAAAGTTGGGGCGTGTACTTTCAAGTGGATTGAGTACTTTCCAGACTGTGGCCAGGACTGGAGCAGACTTGGTCCTCATGGGAACGTCACCAACACGATTTTGTCCAACAGGTCGCAAGAATTTGAATATCACACGGGAAAATCTCTCTACAAACTCTCGGCAGCACTGGATGCCGGGATTCACACCCCTCTGAAACTGATAAAGGGGTATAAATGTAGCAAAGTGCCTTCTAACATAGCCTATGTGGCCCACATCAGGAAACATAGAGCACCTCCTGGAGGTATGAAGTTCTGCTGAGAGCAGACCAAGTTATACCGCTGTGGCGCACCCTTCCCCCACACGCGCGCATGCGCACGCAAAAGGAGGGCTGGGCAAGTGTGCTCTCCGATCAGCGCACGCAGTGGGCACTGCGCTAACGTCGACCCTCGTAGATAGGCTAGGGGCTAGGATAGATCGCTATTCTGGATGGGCAGCCTGCCAACATTGCTCCTGCCAAATACACGACGCCCCAGTAAAAAAAAACGACTGGGTGAGTGCGGGGTCTGCAGCAACGAGTTTCATCCCTAAAGATGTTTTATATGCCACTACACAGCTTGATCGCAATAAGTCTATTTTGTTGCGGCGGTGAGTACTGTCATTCTTTTGGCCTGCAGTGACATGTAAACTGTCATAAAACCTATATGCCCAGTATCTCCATGTTTGGTCCAGCCTCTGCGAACTAGTGAGTGGATTTCAGAGTCAGACTTGGAACAGTTGCGAGTTACTGCAACAAATGATTACAATGTACTGGTCTTGCTTGCACACGACTCTGTCTTCACTTGCCAAGGCAGTATTTCACAGTGGAACGTGAGGTGGTACCACAGCGCTGCAACTGACGACTGTGCAACAGTCATTTTTACTTTTGTAGTCTATAGAATCCGGTCAGATGAATGTGGAAGCTTGTTATCCGTGGGAAGTAATTCGTATCAAGTACAGAATAATGGGCCTGAAATGCAGGAAGTGGAGAGTGTGTTTCATGTAGAACCAGGGGACAGAATTGATGTGCAAGAAGGAGATATTATTTGTGTACTAATACAGCTACACTCGGAGTGTGCAATGACTGAATCAAGTGTCTGGGTAGCGGGGAGGGAGCTGGTGGGTACACAATTGTACCACAGTGTGTTTACAAACGTGTTTGGAGCAATACTACTCACCGCTCTGGCACCTTGTTCTGAACTGCAGCGAAGCAGCGTCTTTCCGTTTGTGTCTGCAGTTGTTGGTAAGTGGGTATAGGCTAGCTCTACAACACTTTGTTTGATATTAGAATCCACTGCTATTTCCAAAGGAGGTTCACCTCTGGATCCTCCTCCTTCTTCCCATGTTCAACCCCAGCCTCAGACTACAATTCCATTTGCTGCCATTACCACTAGTAAGTGTGTTGTATAGCTAACACTGCTTGACACGTGATACTAACTGGACATGTTAGATTCTTCAATTTTTGGTCGAAATGATGGGCACGCCACATACAGCAGCAGCAATTGGATACCGATATCTAGCCACCAGTTTACTTCACAAGAGTTTGTTGCTGCATCATCCACTGAAACCGCCCCCTCACTCTCTCCTACAACAGCATTCAGCACATTGAGGGCTCATGTATCGGTAATATAATAGTTTAGAAATGAACATATCGGTTATTTGTTTGATGCGAAAGGCTTCTATTAGTGGCATGTTTGCCCATTTTCCCCGATGTCAGTGAATAAAGGAGAGCTAAATAAGTGTGAGGATTTTGTCTGACACCCGCATGTTTGAAATCGTGGGTATTGTACTCTGTAAACACATCCCCGCCTCCAGCATATGCTCCAGCATCCACCGTACTTTGTGAACGTTATGCAGGAAACCAATGTTCCCATGGTGGATAGTGGATCTACAATTGACGATCTTAATGTGAGAGGTGGCAAGAGTAAGAGCAGGGTCCACACTGCACTGATAACTCTGGGGACCGGCTGCTGTCTTCTACTCATAATCATCACCGCCATTGCCGTAACTGTCATGTTTCTCTTGAGATACCAGGCACCGCCTGGTACGTCGACATTTACCCCTACAGTGTGTTGCTTTTGTGGGACAACGCTAGCTAATCTGTTCCTGGAATTAGGGGGGTAAGGTCATTTATAAGGACTGACATTGTGCAAAGTTTTGTCCGCATTTTTCACTTGAGTTTCTCCCTTGAACGTTTCCGCTATAGGATAAAGCTATGATGTTATCCAAATGCAGATTCTACTGGAAGTGGTCACAGAAGCAGAGCTGGAGACTGCCTGGAGGGTAGGGACCCAGAACCCATGCACACCAGACCTGAGCAGTCCCTCCCTGACCCAGAATATGACATGGTCTCCCCTGGCACCGTAACCAATGAGGGGCTCCCCACTCCCAATGATACTGTGACTGTCACCACACGAGACATGATGGGTCAACTGGTACAGCAGGGACAGGCATACAGAATGACCATCAACAAAGCCTACGGTTCTCTGCCTGTTTAAGTCACCACACAAAATGACACCAAGAGACATGCATCACACGTTTAAGCAATCACAATAATATTATTATGCCCCAGCAAACCATTATTTCGTGATTCTGTGCATGATAAACCATTTTTGGCCATCATTTGGCACAAAATAGAGCAAGCTGCATGCAGCACAGTCTCTGTTGGTATAACAATACAGCACCCAAAAAATTCTTCTATATACATGAAAAAAGACGGAAAGAGACAGCTAATAATTATTATGAATTTTTTAGCCGGTTTTACATACAAAAAGGAAACATTAAACATACGTGCGAATCAAGCCAGCAGGAAAGCTATACTGTATGATACAAAGACTATTCTGCGAAACTGATTGTAGTCTCTTCCACTTGTCGGACGACGCCGTTTTCTTCGCGTCTCACACTGTCTGTATGCGTTACAACTAATTCGGGGGAAGTCGAGAAATCGACAGTCACAGTCGAGTACTCGCTATCTCCGTCAGGTCCTGGACTTGTGGCTAACGCGGCCCGACACGACGTTGAACCCAACCCGTGATCCAGTCTATCATACGTATCCTCATCTCCATCTCCGTTGTCTGAGAAATGAGCGCCATTTTCCGGCTCAAAGCTACCGTCCTCTGCTAAGCGTTTGGAGCCAGCCTTTGCGTAACCTGGTCCCGGATTTTCTTCATCTCTCTCCTCTTTACCTCCAACCACTCTCCCTTTCTGGACTTTAGCATATGGAGGGTCACTCTGGTCAGGCGATGACACTATCCCATAGCTATTGTCCAGTACAATCGAGTATGGATTCTCCTCTCCATCTCCCACTTCCGCTTTACTCTCTTCACCTGTCTGTTCCTCTTGTTCTTTCTTCTTGACAGATGCGTAGGGAGGGTCGTTGGCAAACAAGTCGATCTGGCTGTATGGGTTAACGATGCCGCTAGACGGGGGCTGAAGGTCGCTGCCGCTGGGGTCGATGAGTTCAAGAGAACCCTCTGCCTGGCGGGGCACCGGTGGTCTCTGAAACTCCGAGAGGTCTCCGAGGTCTCCCTGGTGAGGGAGGGGTGGAGGATTCGGAGAAGCTTCGCGCACGAGGGATTCCTCGGCGTCATTTGCAGCACCAGACTGCTGTTTCAGGAATTGCGACTTTCGTTTTGCAGCCATGTCCACAGATGCATACGGAGTCTCTTTTTTCCCAACAGCAGCAGGCCCCTCCTCAGAAACATTCTTCAATGCGTCTGTCACCGATTCATACTCTGGTTCCATCGGTGGGCTGGGGACAGGTTGCATATCTTCTCCTTCTCCTGCATCGAGTGGTACATCAGAGGAAACAGGTAAGTCATCCACCATTTCAACACTCTTTGGCCGAGACTTTTTCCTTTCTTCGCCCTTTTTCATCGCTGCATCCGACATTGCTCTCTTTCTGATCTTGAGGTGAGCGGGGATCATGGCGTACCCGAGTTCATCGTGCTCCGGTGCATACGCGGAGAGGTCGGGTGGGGAGAAAGTGCTGTCCACCGCGGCGTGGGAAGAGACTCTGGCATATTTGTTGGCTGGAGTCTGGCCTCCCGCTCCTTCTCCCCCCGCAGCTGCCGCTGGAGGTGGCGGTGTACTGGGAGGTTCGGCCGGCTCTAACTTTGGCATGGCCTCTCCGCCGTGCCCAACCTGGACCGAATCGTAGCTTGGGTCGTTCGTAAATTGTCCCAACACGACCGTGTCGTACTCAGGGTCCATATCTTCGTGGACGCGCTGACGGGCGACAAGACCTCCGGCCGGCTCTTCAGGTAGGTCTGGGAGAGGGCCGTGACCATGATGCAGCATGCTGGGACCAGCTGTTCGCATGCTCGAAGGAAGCGATGCCGACTTTGCCTTTGCAGCATTGCCGTTTTTGAGGAGTGCGGCGCCCCGAGGGTTAAGAACTTCGATCATGTCGTAGGCACTGTCATCGGGGTATTCGTCTTCTTCTTCTTGCTCCTCGTCTGGAGGGGGCGGGGCGGGCATGGGCGGGGGTGACGGAGGAAGGTGTGTCGGAGATGGGACCGCACCTACTGTGGGGACTTTCGGAAGTGGTTCGTGCTGCTTTTTTGCCTTTGGAGACGAAGGAGTGTTACTAGCCGCAATGTTTCCAGGCTTTTTTCTTGTGAACAAACTCGACAGGGAGCGCCCGCGTGATTCGGTTACAGTGTCACTCTTTGCTTTACTCAGAGCTTTGTGTTTCTTCTGCTCACTCTTGGTCTCCTTCCCGACATGCTCCTTGCCCTTCTTCTTCACCTCATCCTCGGGTCTCTCTTTCGTCAGTGGAGATGCAGGAGGAGTGGTGGTCATCGCCCCCTCTGTCTTTGTGCGGTTGATGCTCGGTGACCTCGGTGGAGGAGGGAGGGGTGAGATGGGTGACAGGGTGTCTGGGGAACTCGCAGAGGCAACGTTTGGTTTCATATCTTCAGGAACACTTTCGTACATGTCCTCGTCGACTTCAACATTTCCCGCATCGTCCACTTCAACCGACTCGTATAGACTCTCACGGACTGGAGAACCATTGGGTTCTGCAGCACTACCTAAGGATCTGTCACCTGCACCGTCTGCTGGCGTGGAGGCACCATTGCGAAGCTCGTCTGGAATGCTGTCGTACGTCTCGTCACTTACGTCGAGTTTGGGAATCTGAGGCAGTGGGAGGTGGGCCGCCGACTCTGTGAAAGCTCGTTCGTCCCTCACCCCCCTCCCCTTCCCCTCTCGTTCGTGGCTATCAGGGTCCACAGGCTCGGTCACAGCTCGCGGTCTCCCCGGTGGCAGCATGGGCGAAGATGTCCGTACCTCACTGTACCCACTTTTCTTAGCCACAGGGACCATGTGTCTGGTCACCTTACCATATGGAGGGAGCCCAGAGCCCTTCTCCTTGTCTTCTCTGCCTCCTCTGCCACCTACTTCCCCAGCACCACCAACATTGCCAGTAGGCTGAGCAGGTGGGGCAGAACCCTCCCCCCTGGCACCACGAACTGTGGCATACGCATACCCAGCCTCGTCTTCGCCGTTTTGTTTGCCATTGCTGGCCGTCTTGTCCACATAGTCATATTTACCGCTTGGTTTCTTCACACAGGCATACCCACCTCCGTCCTCATCTTCTCTTCCCTCTTCTCCCACTTGTGCACCCTCTACTCGTCTGGGTCTGTCTGCAGTTTCTAGCGTTGGGAGGTGTGAGTCTTTGCTGGTCTCTTTCCCAGGCTGCACTAGGGGCTCCTGGGATCCGGACTGCTGCGAAGCTGCGAGTTTGGCTCCTTCGCCGGAGGCCATCGAAGAGGTGGCCGATTTGCCTTCGGAGCTCCCTGGCTGGTCAAAAGAGGCCGACCCCTCGTTTAGGAGATTGACCATCGATTCACTCTGTATAAAGAGACACAAAATACATGGAGCTTTGTGGATATGTACTATAACGAATGTAACACATTGCTGGCGACCTTGGGTGAACGTACTTCAGAAGATTTACACGTAATATTACGGCATGTACGGTACAGTAGACATAGAAAATGATATACACAATTCAGACAACCATGTAGAGGCTTGCTTAGCTTGCCAAAACTGTTGAATTGAAGTTTACATCTAAGTTTCCCCGGCACAAGGTGTGTGTACTCTGACTACATGTGCATCACACCACAGTGATTACCTTAGAGGCCGCAGTAGTAGTGGACTCACTTGGGGCAGCAATCTCATCAGTGGTCCTGTATGTGGTCAGAGTAAGGTTGTCACCGCTGTGTGTACAACATCACTAGCTAAACATCAATATTCGTACTATAACTCTATACATTACAATATGGACTCTTGAATGCAAGATATTTCTCATATATAAACTTGTGCATCAGTCACAAAGAACCCCACCATTCTCTGGGGAATTTGATAGAACAGGTGTAGCAGAGGTATGTATGGCAGGCAGTATTAGTTCCCATCTTAATCAGTCCATTGAAACAAGACAGAGTGACGTCCAGAAAGGCTACTTAGGTTGTTCAGGATTCCAGTAGAGAACAACGCTGTAAGAGGCTATTACAGTCCTAGCTCCCTATACCTATTCATAAGGCCAGCTAACCCCTACTATTTTCTACGAAGAGAAAGAGGCATTGGCCAGATTTGAGCCTCAGAATTACAACAGTCTCAGCAAGTATATACTATGAAACACTACAGTAAACATGTGTACAATGTGCCCCAAATGACATTATAGGAACCATCATATAATGTGTAGCTATCAAGAGTTCCTGTGGTTCAGTTGAATGTAAACTCACTACAATACCATATATACACTATAGTGACCCCTGTTTCTAGGTTATAGTGCAGTCTTGGAACAACTTTCCACCCACATTTTCAAAGTTGAAACTGCAAGTAACATGCAACTCCCTGAATACACAGTGGTATGGAAATCACCCAATATTCCAGTGTATGTGACAAGTGACTAAGTCAGCACGCTGAAGACTAGTGTTAGTTAGTGTTGAGAAACTGTTTGTGGTCCGCCTGCTGGTCCACGGCTTGCTGTAAGCCATGAGCACATATGTTTAAATATGCTTCTTTATGGGAAATCATGTATGTGTCAATAACAAGGTCAAAGCAAAGCGAAAGGCAAACAGCACGGCTACAATTGTGCAACTCAATGATACGTACCTTCATGCCATTTCTGAGCCACACACTGATGCACGTATGTCAGTGTGTGTACGTGGTAAAGGATAGAGAACAGGAAGGGAAATATGTTCCTTTTTTGTGCAGTGAAGAAATGCGTGACCTTTTCTACCTTTGTCCAATGATCTACTTACATACGGCACACAATTGGGTATTATGTACACTACATTCCTCATGGTATTGACATGTACACACTACATTCCTCATTTCCTCATGACATTGACATGCCCCCACACACCAATTCCCACATGTACATACTGAGTGAGAGTTTACTGTGCCATAGCACAGTGGTTTTTAGGTTTGCCTTGTGTTGTGTTGTGTTGTGTTGTAGATTCGAACCCCTACCAGCTGAGTAGCCCTGGTAGCTCAGTTGGTAGAGCACTTGCCTAGACTGCAGAGTGCCGTGGGTTCGAATCCCACCCAGGGCAGCTCTTTGAAAGAAAGAGCTGTCCTGGGTGTAGTTGACTTGTTTGCCTTGCCTTGCCTTTCTACCTCGTTACCAAGTTGTTGAGACATACATTACGGCAGTTCCCTCCATTCCTTTTTACTGTCTACATGGATACTTACCACACTATGCTTATTGCCATCTCGAACTTTTTGTAAGATGTCAGCCAAACATTAGCAATATCACTCTCACTTACTATGCATTTTGAGGTAAACTCTGAATCCTACAAATATTTACAGCCTTCACAGCCAGTGATCCCAATGCTGAAAATAACACTATGTCTCTCACCAGTTAATACTACTACATCCCCACTCCAAGGTCGTAGTTTGTAGGTTCCAACCCTAAGTTCACACTGATACAACGTAATAGTACACAAGATTGGCATTCTAACACTGGTACAACGTAGTATGTAATAGTACTTGGCATTCGTACACACAAATAGCATTTTGGGGAGTGAGGGGATAGTATTAGTCAGGGATTTCTCCCATCCCATAAACTATATACCACCTCCAACTGAGGTATATACAAAGGCAAGGCAAAGCAAACAAGTCAACTACACCCAGGACAGCTCATTTTTCGTGGGATTCGAACACACGACATTCTGCAGTCTAGGTGAGCGTTCTACCAACTGAGCTACTACCAGGGCCACTCAGCTGGTAGGGGTTCGAATCAAATGCAAACGTCAATCCATGACACCTATTGATGTAATAACTCACTGCTCACAAGAGCAGTGTCCAGGCTACTAGGAAACAGGGGTCTTATGGTCAAAAGCCCTGAGGGGACCAGTGATCCCTGCCCCCTTCGTTTATTTAGGGGCAATCTGGAAATGAGGCTAAAATTGGAATTGAGAAAACTTTCAAAACACTTCTGAAAACAGTTTCAAAGTGAGGTTCTACACAATTGAACAATCAATGGCCCGCAAAAGCATTTTCTATAGAATTACCATTCCGACCAAGTTCCTCAACAATACAGCAGCATCGTATGAGATGCATGATGATGTAATAATGATGTAATCACCTGCAGTCTGGGACTTAAGTACAGCAGCATCTTATGAGATGCAAGTATCAACAAACGAAGTGAGGTAGCAAGGCAAAGGCAAAGGCAAACAAGTCAACTACACCCAGGACAGCTCTTTCTTTCCAAGAAAAGGAGAAGAGCTGCCCTGGGTGGGATTCGAACCCACGGCACTCTGCAGTCTAGGCGAGTGCTCTACCAACGTAGTAATCACCTGCTGTCTGTCACTTAAGTACAGCAGCATCTTAAGCATGATGACGTAATACCGATGTAATCATATGATGTAATCACCTGTTGTCTGAGACTTCAGGCTCGTACTGCTGTGAGCTGTGAGCACACATTGCAAGAGCAGCTAGCAGTCCGACCAATCCAGCAGCACTAACACACAGCCACACCACTCCTCTCTTGTTACCACTGGTACTGGTTGTGGCGGTGGCTTTTTCCCCATCAGGGAGGGAGGTGGAGTGGTGAGTGTCTTGAGCAGCTCGACGGAGTCTGATCTCAGAGGAAGATGTGTGCTCTTTAGAGGGAGGGTGGGAGGGAGAGGAAGAGGGAGAGAAAAAAGGAAAGAGAGAGGGGGAGGGAGAGAAAAAAGGAAAGAGAGAAGGGAAAACAAAAGAGAGAGGGGGAGGGAGAGAAAAAAAGGAAAGAGAGAGGGGGAGGGAGAGAAAAAAGGAAGGGGGGAAGTGGTAATAGAGGAGGGAGAAGTGCAGTGTGTGTTTTGTGTGTGGGTAGGTGTCATCATCATCCAAAAGTGTATGGTTCAGTGAGTTTACTGTTGCAAGAAGTTTGTGCAGATGTCTAACACAACACGCCTTCGGTTTACCTTTGATGCCAAATACACCAAACAGTACCCTTATTTATATACAGATGAACACATCGAGGGAGCTCAACGTATCACATACATGCATATACTAGAAATCATATACGTATCACATACATGCATATACTAGAAATTATACATATGTATGCATTACGAATTACATACACAGTAAAGCATTTCTTCTGCTTTGCTTCATGCTCCAGTGATCGTGTGAATTGTGCATTAAAAAGCACATCAGTTTGTGAGATCATTCTTGACTGACTGCATGCTCTCTCTAAATAAGAACAACTCTTATTTACACACACACACCATCTGAGAGAAGGGTGAAGCATCTAGGAGAAGGATCGTGGGCACAAGTAACCCTCACAGTGACTGGACCATCTGATATAGACCACATCGTAGGGAATAAGATATACCGAACCTGGGGAGATGGAAAGAAAGTTTATAACTAAACATTATATACTCACGTGCACACAGTAAATGTGCCAGTGATTGATACATACATATGTAGCCTGTTTGTAAGACTAGAGAAAATCAATCTACTATGTAATGAAAGGCACTGAAGTGCAAACCCTCGGCGCAACACACACGCACAATTATGTAAAGTAATGGGTGGGGCAATGGTATCACCAGGTCTGGTAGAATTGTTGTACCTATACTTACTGGTGCTGTATTTAGTTTCGTAGATAAGACTATTCTTTCCTCCCAAGCCTAACCTAGTGAGCTACAATTCAAACGCCTTAGTTGGAGGCATACTTACTGAACTCAACCGTCTTCTCAGTCCCAATCAGCGTGCGCCGCTTTGGCCGCCTGCCGCATCGGAGTCACGGCGTTTTGGTGTATACACACATGCGCATTGTTAAAATGGCCGCCCTTGCCGTACCGTACCAACAGGAAAACGCTCTAGCTCTGCAACGAAGCAGTTTCAGAGAAAATCCCACATATTTTCTGACCTCCGTCGGCCGCTGGGTATGTAAACCCGTTTTGGACGCGATCTATGACTGGAGAAGTGAGTTCTCACTTAACTGACAGAATGAATGACACACACGACAACTACAGTAACCCTCGCTGCGCATGCACGCCGAGGGTTAATTACTCGATGATCTATACATTGTGTACTAGCTTTGCCTTTGCGCAATAGTTGGTCAAGTCTCCTCCAGCCTTCTTCCAACTATACAAGTGCCCCACCATTTACTGCCTTTAAAACACCCGTGCACTGAAAATGAGTGAATATGGAAACTGCCTACCTACATATCTACACGGGAGAACAGGTAACAGGAATGGTTCAGTAGTAGCAACCCACAGAGCTAACCACATTCCACACTCTGACATTATAGAAACAACCCAGATAGGGGATCAGCCTACCATTGTACAATACACAGTACACATCTTTCAAAAAATATACTAGTACTAGGTGAATGCAGGGCATTTTTGGTGAGTGGGAGCGAGAGTACAAGTCTGTTTAGGTTCGAATCAGATTGCAAAGCCGCGGATTGACTGGGTTTAGTAATAATGTACACCTCTCTGCAGAAAACAACTGGCGAGTCACACAAGGTAATGACTGTGACATGCATCTGGCTCACAGCAAAAGGTGTAGGCAATGTGATATTTGCCATTTCAATACAGTGCGATGTAAGTGGCATCTGGTTCGATTGCTACGTACATATGTTGAAGTAAGGCGTAGGAAGTGCGAGTCATGCCAATCACAAGCAGTTACGTATACATACATGTCAATACAGTCCAATGTCACAGCTATTAACCAACCATTAGCACATTATGCCCACACAGCTTTGTACACTTGTAATCCACATATAAACTAGGGAGGTGACGATCAAAGTGCTTGTTGCAGCTTAGTGCAATACGCTGATACACACACAGAACGTCCAACTTCAAAGCACCTTCGGCTCCCCTCATTTCAGCCCGAGTCCCCAAACGGCTTTAGTACACAAGAGGTTACAGACTCACGGAGCACAGAGTGAAACCCTCCACTGTAAACATGTCTGATTAGAATTTACAAACACTGTCATTGACTCACTTCAACTACGTTGGCACCACACATGGGGTCCTACACGTGCACCAACACATGTATGTTTTTAGAGGCAGAAGTGCATTGAAGACCAACACATGATTGTATGTTTTTAGAGCATTGAAGACGCACACATGTATGTTTATAGAGGCAGAAGTAGACCAACACATGTATGTTTTAGAGGCAGAAGTGCAGACTTATCCACGGACTGAAACTGCACGTGTAATGAATAATGTTTGTGTCACTACCTACACTCCAGTTGCCTTAATAAAGGACAGCCATTATGTCTATGTGCTCCTGCCGGTTTACCTTTTATACAACATTGTGTGCTTGTGTGTCTGTGTGTGTGTATTACTGAATTTATAGCTTACCAGGTGAAAAAACCTTGTGTCTTTAAGAGTAAGTAACTACATACTGTGTTTATTATGGGAAAAGGATGACACACAAAAAACTTGTAAACAAGAGCGCATTCCCGCACACCAACATCTATCTAAACGCTCTCTGCATTCCAGTAGGAATGGTCGCTCCTGAAAGTAAAGTGTATAAATATCCCCTACAGAGCCATGCTACTAGGTGGACACATGGAGGCTGCAAGGAAATTAATGTGCACTATAGATAGGGTTCAGGCAATAATATTCCATACATGTCATACAGCCTGAAATTTTACACCGATAGCACAAAATGTATACCGTATATACACCCCAGCCTTGTTTGTACACACACTGAAAGTGAAGCGTAGATTGAATGCACCCTGTCCAGTTTGCATGGAAAGATATTGGGTAACCTGGTGAACCCCATTCACGGACATGAATAACGGGAGTGCATCAGGGAGCAGTGACAAGCATGCTGGGTGAAGCAAGGGCACACCTTGTGCTGGCTTGTAGTATGTATGTCTAATGTGTGTTACTAGCTGCAGAGAGCCACCTATGTCCCCCAGCTAGAAGCAAGCACTTACTTTCAATTCTAGGCAATTAGCAGCACTTAGTGACTTACCCTCACAGGCAATTGGGCGCTGTCCATCAAAATAATCACATCATCTTCCAAGCTCCCAACCTTGCACATCTCCATCTCCCTTTCCCCGCCTCCCTCAGCTTTGCCTTCCTCCCTCTCCCCATGTTGCGTGGTAAACCACACGAACTGTTCCAGCTCGGCGCTGTCCCAAGGCGGTTGTAGAGATCCCTCTGCCAGTTTTGATTCCCGGGCGATTTTCAGTTCCTGACAGCTCTCGGTCCGTTTATCGCGTTTCAGAGCTCCTCGGCTGTTGGAGAACACGGGGAACCCTGTGGATGGCTCCAGGAGAGACAAGAGTACGACGCTACAGACCAGGGCGACTGTTGCCGACGATCGAGGGCTCGATCGAGGGCTCAATCGAGGGTTCAGGGGCATGGTTTCTCTACTGCACGGCTCCACACAGATACCAAAAGATCACACTACTACACTATAACCCTACAGCGAGCAGCGTGCAAGCAATGCACGGCATGCCGAGCGGACCTCCTGCTTGAAGAGGGCGTGGTGGTGTGCGTAGGAGGCTGGGTGGTGGTCCCCCCGGCCCCCGTGCGGGCCGGCACGGGCGGGCGAGGCCCATGTGCGTGCGCGCGTGTGTGTACACGTACGTGAACTTAACGTGAGGCATGGTTGCTCACGTGATTAAATTTTAAGCCACGTGGCGAGAGAGCGAACGGTTGAAGAAGAAATGTCGACTACTGGACAGCTCTTGGTCGGCGGGGAGCGGCTGTCTGGAGCGAGCATCCGGAGCCAGAATGGTAGGAAAACAAACGCTAACTCCAACACGATCCAAGTTTCACCTTTCTTACAGTTATTGCCGCCTTGTCGGTGGCTAACATTGTGAAGAGCTCATTGGGACCTCTGGGACTGGACAAGATGCTGGTGGATGATGTGGGGGTGAGTTCCACCCAACCCCTACTCGCTAATTTTGTCTACAAGTGGCCTATTTCACGTTCTTTCCCTGTGTTTGTTCCACACTAAGTTGTTCGAGGTAGGTAGGGGGAGGGAAAGCAGAATTCTACACTACCATATTGTTACACTACTTAACTTCTGTAGGAAGAGTGGTGCTGTAGACCTTCTAAAACTTTAGTGAATTCTGAGGTTCTGGGAAAGATTTCTTTGAAAATTCGCTTTCTCTGTGAAACTAAGCCACACTGTCCTCCGCTCCATCTACTCTGTTAAATTGTTGTACCATCTAAATGACTCCTGTTGTCTTTGTGACTGAAGGATGTGACGGTGACAAACGACGGAGCGACGATACTCAAGTTACTGGAAGTGGAGCACCCAGCTGCAAAGGTTCTGGTGGAATTGGCTGATCTTCAGGACCAGGAGGTCGGGGATGGAACAACGTCTGTGGTATGTGAACCCGTCGGCCTAAAGGCACTCTGACACAGCAACACGTAATTTCTACTGCATGGCGTAATTTTGAACGATTCTGACGATGTACTGGTGTGTTTTTGTTCGCGAAGAAGATTGAAAGCCGCACAAGACCTACTCTAGGCTTTCGCGGCTCCTTGTGGTACTGGCTCTTAATAATCGCTTGCAGGCGCTGAAACGCTTCAAGTGGGAAGTGAGTTGCGACCGATCAGATTTGATTTTGGAACCATGACCCAATTTTGAAGCTAATTGCCTTTGGGTGGGCGGCCTAGAATCCAGGAAAGTTAAAGAGTCAAGAATGTACGTTGTATGAGTGCTCCGTGTCACGAGAGTTTTCTTCCACGAAAGTTTCTTGCTGTATGGTGTTCTGACCATGCCTCACAGTCCATGTGTACTACTGTGGCAGGTGATTCTGGCTGCAGAGCTGTTGAAGACTGCAGAGGAGCTAGTAAAGTACAAGATCCACCCCACGTCCATCATCAGTGGCTACCGACTTGCCTGCAAGTAATGCCTCACAACTGCATGACATGCTCTTTTCCGTGTCCCAGCTTAATGGTGGGAAGATTATTTGCAGTTTGAGAGCCAGCTGCTGTAATTTTTCTCTGTGACATTGTGGGTGGGGCCTTTTTGTACAGTTAAGGAAATCTGCACTGAAATGTCCATGGAATAAAAATGCTGGACCAATGATTACACTTCATGCACCACTCTGAAAAATACGTGTGGTTAATATTCACGTCAGTATGAGGTCCAGGGAGCTTTTTCATGTTGTGTAGGATTTACTGTATTTATTACTAAAGGGTCAAAATCTTTTGAAGTTGATTTGAGTAAAATTTTGTTCGCTGGTGTGTGTGGATGTGCATTCCCCTGGTTAACCCTCGGTGCGCATGCGCATGTGTGTCTTTCTGTTACCCAACATCTCACTTCACGAGCCATGAATCGCTCGACAAACAATACCAGGTATTCAGCATCGGGTATAGGTCGAAAAGGGTTTTCTCTGAAACTGCTGCGTTCAAGAGTTGCGGCGTGAAACACGAGCGAAAAAGCCAATATGCTAATTAGAACGGGCTTACCTCGAGCGGGTTCGCTCTCTCTGTGTATCTTGAAGGCACAAGAAGTCACAACTAACGGTGTGTATTGACTCCTGCATGCTATCTACTGCTGTAGCTAGCCCGTGTCAGACTCTCCACGAGCTACCAGCGGGAGACCACGAGTAAACGCATATTAATAGCCCAGCCCATCAATTGGCGGTATCACGCATGCGCAGTTCGCCGAGGGTTTGCACTTTAGTAGTGCTTTTACATTTCTCTGGGTTGTAGGATGGCAGTAAAGTACATCCAGGAGCATCTGGTGGCAAAGGTGGAAGATCTGGGGAAGGACTGCATCATCAATGCAGCCAAGACATCCATGTCTTCAAAGATCATTGGATCGTGAGTCAAGTGTCCATCATACGCACACTACCGATGCTGGTTTTGGTACAATACACATGACCTCACAGGCAAAGTACTTTCTGCAAAATAAATCTCTAGGCAAATGAGAGGGTGTTGTAGTTTTCGCATGTGGAAATGATAGAGGCACACATTAGTAAGTTCTGGTTTGTTTTTTGCCGTTCTACTTCGTATTTTGATACTAGTCTTGTATTTGTGACTTGTATTTATAATGTAAACCACATTTTCGGCCCCCAGAATGTTAGTTATTGACCGTTGCTAGGTGGTTGCTATGTTTATTGTGCTACTATAAATCAGCTAATGCACCAACGAGGTGTTAAGGTGACAATATGCACCGTGGTTAGTGCTTATATCTGATATAAGCACTGCGCTTTAAAGTGCATCATAGAACGAACTTCTTTTCCAGCGTCTTAACTTTAGCACCGCTAAAAAAATTCAAATCGCTCACTGTACTCTTGACTCATGGGCTCTACTTACTTCCCTAATGCCAGACTCAACCTCAGCTTCTTGCCCGTGCGGGATTGATCATCGTCCTCAGCCTCGCTTTCTGAAGTTCACCCTTCGACACTTACGCGAAAGAGGGCTTCGAGACCTCTTTGCCATGACTTGCAACAGAGCACAAAGCAAGGAGAAACGCCAGTGGGAGCTCCGCACACGAGAAAGCACGGCAGAAGACGCGAAACCACAAAAATGCACGTGTAGGCGACGGCAATTGACGTCATAGCACCTAGCAACTATCAATAAACTAATTATCACACCCTTTGTCGTGCTGTTGCGGTTTACAAGGCCTCGCCCTCGGGACGTCGGCCTTGTAAACCAGCAACAGCACTCCAAAAGGTGTAATAACCACTACATGTAACTTAGGCTAAACAAGTATTGTTTCTGTGGTATAGCAATCCTACCAAAGAGATGTTAAAATGGTACTCTGTCTAAAAACGCAGGGAGGCAGATTTCTTTTCAGCGATGGTGGTGGATGCAGCCATGGCGGTGAAGAGGACCGGCCCCAAGGGAGAGGTCAAGTACCCCATCAAGTCGGTCAACATTCTCAAGGCACACGGGAGGAGCTCTCGGGAGAGTGTCCTCGTCAATGGCTACGCCGTCAACTGCACCGTCGCTTCTGAAGGTCTTTGTACATATGTGTTTGAGTTCTGCGGTTAAATAGTGGTGGAACCCCTCGAGCAAGCCTAACCAGTCGTCTCGAGTTGCACGTTTTTCCATAGACTGACGACAGTGGTGTTGACGATTATTGAGTTGGGCATGTTGTCAGTTGACATCTACACACGTCAGAAGCCCTCGGGCCCTTCACGTAGCGTCCTCACTGCACTCGCAACACCACAACGCAAGGGCCCTCGGGCTTATCTTATAATGTGCTTATCTTTCACAAATTATTATTCAAAGATCGCTCTCATTACGTTTCCCTTATATGTACCTCACCCCTAGCAGCCCCATTCTCTACATGTTGTATGTTGTTCCGCAGCAATGCCGAAGGCGGTGTCAAAGGCCAAGATAGCGTGTCTTAATTTCAGTCTACAGAAGATGAAGCTCCCTCTGGGAATATCAGTTGTTGTCCACGACCCAGACAAACTTCAGGCCATCAGGGACAGGCGAGTGGTGCATAGCATTGTGTGTGTGTGTGCGTGATGACTTGGTACTGTTTGCCAAAGTAGGCTCAAAGTAGACTCATTCTTGTTTTACCTATTTCAAAATTAGTGTGTTTACTTTTCCTCTCCTCTCCCCCACTCTCCATCTTTTCTTTCTCATTTCTCTTAACCTCTCCTCTCCTCTGTCCCCTACCGCAAGAGTGCTTGATAGAAAGTTGACGGGAAAGAGTTTTAACTTGCAATAGATGCTCATAGAACATAGACTAGTACACATGTATAGCAGGTGTTTCACGTGCGTACTATTGCAGGTTATTCAGCCCCTCCTCAAGTTACATGCTCTCTCTCTTCCACGTTCTATCGTGCACTCTCGGCCACTACACCCCTTCTCCCCCCCTCTCACTTATCACACCCTCCCCGTCTTCCCAGGGAGTCGGACATCACAAAAGAGAGGATAAAGAAAATCCTGGATGCCGGAGCAAACGTCGTCCTCTGTACTGGCGGCATAGACGACTTGTGTCTCAAATACTTTGTCGAGGCCGGAGCAATGGCCGTCCGTCGCGTCAAGAAAGAGGACCTGAAACGTATCGCTAGGGCCACTGGAGGTATATAAGCTATGTTCACTGTTTTAGAGTATGGTGTTAGTAGTTTTTAGCCTGACAAGAGTTTCAGCCTCGTTCAGACCTTGTTTCCACCTCATGCAGGGTGTGTTTCACATGCGTTCTGCATGCTTGTCCCTCTCGAGTAGATCGCGTTCATTTGTTCAAGGCTCGTGCATGCACTTGTGCCCGCGCTAAGGCCGTCGCGAGGATTGACTGTTGCTCGCTTCCCCGTCCCTACACACCACACGACTTCTCGTGAGGGGCCCACATCGACCAGCAGGCAGCGTGCTGCACGATGCGACGACTCAGGAAGCTGTAGAAGTGCACGCAACAGCCACGGCACACGCCCTCCCCTATGGCACGTCTCCCGGACACGTGTGCTGCACGCATTCCACTCGCACGCCGGGAATGCGTTTCACTCGCATTTACCCCTCGTGTCGGTCTTGTTTGCACTGCGTTTCGGCCTCGTTCGCTGGCATTAAAAACGCATGTGGAATGCGCGTTCACCTCATTCAAAACGCTAACGGATTATGCCTTGCCTCTGCAGTTTGTCTACAGTATGTCAATGGCATGATATAATGTTCACACTGTCTGGCAGCCACTGTGTGTGTATCACTGGCCAACCTGGAGGGAGAGGAGACATTTGACGCCAGTCTACTGGGCCAGGCTGAGACTGTGGCCACCGAGAGAGTCTGCGATGATGAACTCATCTTGATCAAGGGGTCAGTGCACATACCGAGTGACCTAAGAACAGTGTCTGTAGAAAAAGACGAAAACTCGCTTATTTGCTCACAGTGTGTGTGTTCGCAGAAATAACCTCTGAATTGAGCAGCAGTTGACTTGCATGACTAGCTAGTTGCACATGCTTCACACTTCAGTTGACTCGCTCCTTTTCACACACGTACTGTGTAAGAGTTGGTGATGATGCAACACACCTGCCAGTTCTGCTACTGATGATACCGTGACTGAGTGTGTCAGATCTGAGACTCCATCTGTATTGGTCCATTTAGCAAACCTTTTGGTCACACGTGCACACACACACACGCGGCTGCTACATACCTTTTCATTCAGAGGCATCCTTTATTCAACGGTACTATTAGTATTGGCAGGAGCATATATATGTGTAGAGGTGTCTTCTTAAGCAGAGGGCTTTTTGGCTCCACCGCATGTTTATTTGTATATACTCTCCCTGGACTTGCAGCCCAGGAGCAAGGAGTGCAGCGTCCATAATCCTGCGAGGAGCGAATGACTTCATGGTGGACGAGATGGAGCGCTCGGTCCACGATGCACTCTGTGTGGTGAAGAGGGTCCTGGAGAGCCAGCAGGTGGTGGCCGGGGGAGGAGCCGTCGAGGCCGCCCTCTCCATCTTCCTCGAGACACTCGCCACTTCCATTGTGAGCTCTTTGTAATAGTTGGAGAGCGAGTCTGTGAAATAGAAGTCTTAGGGAAATTTTAGCTAAAGCAAGTGAATTGGGAGAACGAGCTGCCTAACAGTGAATCATTAAGAGAGCTGAAGGCAAGCATGTTATTCTTTTTGCTACCCATTTACAAACATTCATACCTTATTTTATCCATGTCGAGAACCGAAAGAACAGCATTATCTTACCTAATCAAGACAGTTTTCTCCTTTCAAACTATCCCTGCCAGGTGTTCCCACGCGGCAAAAACCCTAACAACGTACAAAATGTCTCATTTGTTGTTGCAGACATCTCGGGAGCAGCTACCGGTGGCCTGGTTCGCCCGGTCTCTCTTGGTCATTCCAAAGACACTTGCCGTCAACGCTGCCCTGGACTCAACCGACCTCGTGGCAAAGCTGAGGGCCTTTCACAACGCCTCTCAGACCATGGGCGAGAGGGAGGACCTTAAATGGTGGGTGCAGTTTGTAGTGGAGAGAGAGGGACGTGGTCAAAGTGTTAAAGATACATTGCGCAACTGTGTGTCTCTCTCTCTGTCTGTTTTCTTCATGTGGTGTAGCTTCAATCTAGCTGCTCCGATATCAATTTTCATCGCAAGCTTAACAACACCCTTTTCGTTGCTGCTGTTTTTGCCGGATTCTAGACTTGGAAGTGTATCTCAATCTGTTTGTGGGTATTGACAGACTTACTCCCCAACCACGTTTTGCTCCAATATCACATTTGTACTACAGCATATCGTTATTGTGTAGCTAGCGCACAGCACCCCTCTTCATGACTGGTTTTGCCCAATGCGGAACTTAAAAGTCTGGATAGATCTCCAAATATGAGATTTAGCATACACCACATGCATATACTTATGTCTTACGTGTGTGTAGGGTTGGTCTGGACCTGTTTGGAGAGACTGTGAGGGACAACAAGGGGGCAGGCGTCTTGGAGCCTGCCATGTGTAAGATAAAGAGTCTCAAGTTTGCTACCGAGGCTGCCATAACCATCCTCCGAATCGATGACCTCATCAAGATAGCTCCCGAGGAAAAGAAAGACGACCCTCGCCACATGCACTGAGACTCCTCCCCCCCCCCCTCTCTCTCTAGTGGTAACACCTACACGTGGTGACTGTATTATGTAGAGTGTTAGTATTGTGGCACCATCTTCTGTGTCTTGTGGATGTCATGTGTATATCAGGAGTTGCAGAATGTATATATACTGTGGTGTTGCTGTGTATTTATCCTCTGCGTGCTGCGTTTGCTTATGCGCTCAGTGTTGTGTCTGATGTCCTAATGTGTGCATCGTTCGAGAGGGCCCGTGGGTAGCTAACGTGTGCTGATTGTATGTGTGTTGTAATGGGGCTTAAGTATAGCTGCAAGCCTGACAATTCTGCATGAACACACTGCACTTGCACAGACATAAAATTCTATGCAGTACTACAATACAATGCGTTGTGTACATACAGTACAGGAGGGGAAAGAAGGCGTTAGGTCATAAGGCATCTGTGCACGGTACATAGAATGTATATATATATGTGCATGTGGTTGGGTAGAGAAAAATCTTGCCATACAGTATAGCAAAAATGTATGCAGTGGGAGGGGAAGGTAAAACTGGTATAGAATGGGTGGGGTGAAGTCAACAGTGTATAGTATTGTTGGCGACCGTGTCCAGCCACTCCCTTGTCTCCTCTGCTGTGACATCTATGAACTCCCCGTGGCAGTACTGGTTGTCCTCCACCGTGTTGTAGACAGGGACACAGGGGTGGTCTTGGAATATGTGGACCAGCTGAGGGTAGTGGACCGACCAGGGAGGAGACTGGTAGTGTACCGACTGGAGCTGCTGGTCAAACGGACCTCCCTGTAGTGGGTGGGTGACATGTGTGTTGTAGCAGTTAATGAAAGCACTTGAAAGTGCATATTCCTCACCACTATAGTTAACATTATGCCCAAATCACCATGAAGAGTGGTGGTTTTGTTATACATAAGCATAAGGGGTTAATTAACAAACTCTCTTAGTGCACATCAAAATAATGCTAATGGACATAGGCCAGTCGTTATGGTAATGGGGAATCCGAAAGAGTTATGTCGAGAGGCCCCTTACAGATGCAAACACAATACTTGGCAAGCATTCAAAAATAGGCAAAAATCATAAATTCAAGGTTGAAAAAAAGCCACCCTACATCTCTCCAGACAGACGTCTATGGACGCAGTGCAATGCCAAACTGTACGCTGTCCTTTGAGATGTATGTGGGTCAGTGGTAGATTCGTGGGTAAGGGGAGGAACCAGAGCTGTTCCCAGCCAATGCTCTGGACCACCTGACAGTTTCAGTGCTGGTCCGGGATTCGAACCAGGCACCTTATGTGTCAGTCCCCACGTCTCTAACCACTTAGCCACTTGGGCTGGCCACGAGAAGTGATGAAAAAAGGTTCCTCTTATACTCACGCTCACATTACATCATTATAAAAAAGAGCCCCAGACCCGGGATCGGAACCACTGACCTCACGATCCAAACTGCGAGTTCTTATCCATCAGACCACACCCAATACTTGAGTGGGGTGTTGAATAATTGTCTCTTGTATATACTACTCTGCTTATGAAATTTGTAGGGAGCACTTTTCCACCTACTCCAGGTGATATAGCTATAGTGTGGGCTTACTTCCTTGCACTCGTCAGCCTGCCAGGTCATACCCCTGTTGTCCACATGTACTGCTAGACTGCAGTTGTAGTAGGTGTTATTGAGAACTTGGTTTCTCCGACCACCTCCTATGAACGACCCCGCATGACAGTTGATGAACGTGTTGTTGTAGATCATGTAACCACTCATCTTTGGAGATAAAGAGGAGGTGGGGGGAAGAAGACAGAGGAGGGGAAAGCAAAGATAAAGAGGTGGAGAGGTGGGGGGGGAGATAATAAAAGCAGACATTGCTGACAAGGATTTGCGCTATTGGAGAGGAAAATGGCAATAGAATAGTGTATATACAGCCACAAGAAACGATCTTGGGGTCAATGATGCATGCAGGAATGAGGTTCATCTGGTAACATTGCCTACCCATCATGAGCATGGTTTTCAGTCAAAGAAGGACTTTGTGCATTTGCTCAATGTCCAATGGTGTTTTGCTTGCACATGCACAAACGGTATTTGGGACACATTAATTAAAGGCCTAATAATGGGCCTTCAATGGAGACCAATAACATGCCTGGTCATCCAAGTAGATGGCCTGAACAGATGGTGAGCCCAGGTACACCTTCTCCGTGGTTGCAATGTTGGTGAAGGTCGAGTGTCGTATGACGTTTCCACGGTCGATCCAGCTGCGGCCGGTGTAGAACGCACCACTGTCCGTCACTTCGTAGCACAGGTCAGAGAGAGAGTTGAACTCAAACAGACAGTCGTTTCCTGTGGAGTTGAGTGGAGGGGTTTGATAGAGGATGTAATGTCAACGAAGTCAACCCAAAGGCAGACCAAATCACTCACTACACCAAGGACAACTTTGAAGAGCTGCCCTGGGTGGGATTTGAACACATGTCACTCTGCAGTCTATATTTTCGATATGTGTGACGGCTCTGTCGGGCACTGCTCATAGTAATGTGATTCTATGCACAAACACACGTTCGAAATATTGAACTGCTCGTGCTCGCCTGCCAACAATGCAGTAGTGGATTACAAGGAGCTGACCTCCACCGAGTATCCCAGCATGTGGAGCATTGGAGAGCCTGTTGTTGGTGAAGTTGTTTCCGACTCCTCCCCAGGAGATGCCCGGCTGGTAGGTCCTCTTCCAGCGAGACCAGTCCGTGACCAGACACTGGGTCAGGAGGTTGTTGCCTCGAGTCAGACTCAGCTGCAGGGCAGGAAAAGGTCATCGTGCCATACTATCAGAGAAAGGAGCGTTTGTATATAGGGGTGAGAGCCAGGTTTGCTCTGCAGAACTTTGTGGGGTGGGGGCCAAAACAACGTATGCACAATCAAGCAATCTGGATACATAATCTCTCAATTACATCACAGAAAAAAGAAAAGTAATTAAAAATTTCCCAGCCACAAAGGTTTTCCCTTAAGAACAACAAGGTTGTGGCTACCCATTAGGTTTCTGCTATACAGTGGCACTCACTTGGTCCCCACCGGTCATTCCAATACCACCACAACCGTTCCCCTCCACCGTAATGTTTCTGACGGTACTGTTGTAACCAGAGAGATAGACTCCTCTGTCTCCACTGTGTACTACACTCATGTTGGCCAACTCCACATACGACACTGTGTGCAGGACACACACACATTAACAATACACCCATATAGCTAACCAGGTTTGAACAAGGGTTCAAACAGAGAGCTATGGGAATGACTTGGCAAAATATGTAATGACCTTTGTTTACTCCATACAACCTATCACCATTATCAGCAGTAGTTCAAACTATAGGGAGCAATGCCTCTCACACGTAAAGTACACATTTATAAAAAATTTCATGGACATCTAGCTTATACTTCATGGAAAATATTTTTCCTTTGACTTTTTGTGCATTGACACCCCTCCCATATCCAGTAGTCAGCAAATAGTTTTGGTGTCAAAGTGATGACTAAATGCTGTAGCAATGTAGCAGTAGCTATAGAGCTCACCACTAGTGGCTGTGATGGCTGTCTGGCGAGTACAGCCCACTTTGAATCCAGTGACTGTCATATGAGACACTGTGTCCATAGTTATCACACTCTCCCCTACTGATACACAACCCTATAGGTGGTGGTGGGATCATGCATGTCTCAACAACTTGGTAGCGAGGTAGAAAGGCAAGGGAAGCAAGTCAACTACACCCAGGACAGCTCTTTCTTGTCAAAGAAAAGAAGAAGAGTTGCCCTGGGTGGGATTCGCACCAACGACAATGCAGTTTAGCTGTCTCATTTTCAGGCCATCTCTGCTACATGTGTGTTATGTGCATAGTGATTGCGTATGTAAGGCTGTAAACATTATACACTGATCACGTTGCGTAACGTGCACATGGTTGGGAAGGCTTAGGAACAAGGCATCGTCGTTTTGTTTGCAAAAGAAAAGAGGGAGAAAAATGATGTCTGTGCATTGTAACTTACCACTTCATCGGCTGGAGGTTTGAAAAGGTACATTATACCAGATCCTCTGTCCACAAAGTACTGTGGGGACGGTGTGTATAATTATCACAGAAAGTCATTATTCGTTACCATAATACCTCATTGCCGTCATCCAGTTCTTCTAGTATGTTCAGAGCGTAGTACCTGGCATGGCTCTTCAGACCTACAAACAAATGACATCATAAACACCAGAGCTGAGGTATATATTATAATTGTAAAGAATGGTGTTGAAACTTGGACTTTCGATCATGATCTATTGAGGGTGCTCATATTCTATGGGTGTTTCAGCTGCTTTGTACATATGCACCTTCTCATTGCTAAGGTTTCGTGTAAGTCTTGGCTCGGCAGGATGAGCTAATAATTATCAGTAGCTCTTGCTGGCTGAATAAGCTCTAGGGTATTGCCCACCTGTTGAACCACATATACGTCACATAAAATATATATATAAGTAGGTGCAGAACTGATAAAGCCCTTCAGTCTTCCTGCTTGCTAATTTTCAGTGAGTCTGCATCACTCAAACTCAGTTTAGCACATGTGTTCTCAATACCACAGGGATTTCTGCTTCCCTAGCTTAGTGGCACTCAGCATGCCTAGAGTGAAGAGTGTCATGTGTTTGAATCCTACCCAGAAAAGGTGTGTGGTGGCTCTGCCCTTGCCTTATTCAGCTACAGTTCATTCATACCATAGAGTATTGGTGTTGCAGGGTCAGTGACAAGCACTGACTGTGCCCTGTCCACACTCTCTACCCTCACATAGTTGTCTGCCCAGTCGTAGCTCCAGAACCCATGCAGCCACAGGGTTGATGTGTTCTTCCACTGAGATATCCTAATCAACAGTCAGTCAGTAAGGACAAAAGACTACTACAAGTGTTTTGGTCTGAGTCAGACATAACTCGTGGGAACACCAGCAAAAGCTACTTTGGGCATGGGAAATGGGTGGGTAATGCTAGCTAGCTTGAGAAAGGGGAGTGGGCTTCATTTGGCCACCTAACAGTCTCCTGAGGTAGAATGTCAAACACTCAAAAGTGGCCCAAAGAGGCAATATTGCATTTTTCAAGTTGTATGGGAAGGTATGATATTATGTATTATGGAGTGTCCATTACCTTTGGTCAGAGTACTGAAAGCTGGTGGAGTTGACTACCTTCTCGACCTGCAAGAACTGCCAGACACCGGCTGGGGAGATGTTGGGGTAGCGAGCTAGAACCATGGCCTGCACAACAGCAAACGGTGGTAGCGCACACAATCCACTCAAACACACAACCGGGTATGGAGAATATTCTGCTTGCTTGATCACCACGTATTAGCAGTTGGTAGCTACACTGATTTACAAGCGTGGTCATAAGCGTATATCTATATGAATTCCGTGCAGGCATTCATGAGCTCATAAGCCATCATGATAGCTAATTTTCTGAACCGTACTCTGTCTGGGAAGAACAACTCCAGTTTGTTGTTGGCACAGTTTCCGAGCTCGCCAGACTCCAGTTTACCGTAATCTGTGATCCCAAGTTTCTTCAGGTCCACCTGACCAGTCGAGTTGGAAACAATTTTTTAAAAAGCTGTAGATTAATCCATGATAAGCACACTTACACAGTGCCAGACAACTGCTCCCTAATCTCAGATTAAATGGTGAGAAAAGCTACTAAGATAGCATCATGCATGACCTGTTATCTTTACTCTATTATCTTTGGCTGGGCTACTTTGGTTCTTACTGTAAGTGTATAGAGATGAGTGTGTATTCCCCATAAGGTTGTGTAAGTATGAGACATGCCTGGACGATGTCATCCCTGAGACGAGGAGGGAGAAGAGTGAGGAGGGAGGGGTCTCTGACTGGCTCAGTGGAGTCCAGGGAGATAGTTACCCCTGCTGTCAGTCTTGCCGCCACTGGGTCAGATGGGTAGGAGCGATATCTGTACATCGAGACATAAAGGTAAAAAAATCAATCTTGGGAATCAGTGTCTCTTGATATCGAAATCGAAAGTGAAAATTTGTATGGACAAAATACTGCATGACCCTTGTATATACTACCGTAATCAGTGATATATATACCTCTGTTTTGAGAATGGCCAATAAACAACAGTCTGCTAACTTATAAGTTCACTGGATTGAGGGGCCCCTCACATGATTGGCGATCCAGGCAGCCCTGAGTCTTGCTGCTCCAGAACCAGGGGGCCGTCGGTGAACAAATAGTCTCCGGATCTCACAGATACAATCACTCCTCCCTCTGGTAGACCACCCCCACTGCTGCTCTTGAGACCTCTTATGGTGTCTCTGGTGTGTGTCAGAGTCTTGAAAGGCAGACTCTCTGTTCCAGGGTTACTATCACTACCCTTGGTGCCTGTGGGACAAGGCATAAAACAGACAGTGTAGACAAAATTGACGAAGTATCATGGCTATAAGCAGCAGCAAGCAGTAGTTTTATAGGGATAGTATGAAGCACACTGCATTAGTAGGCAACATGCAGTCTTTCAGAGTATTCCTCTTCCTGGTAAAGCACTGTCGTTCATGGGAGTAGGACTCTATTGGTAACATGCAGTGGAACGCAGTTTGAATGTGAGAACACATCGCGGTTATATAGCTAACACCGCTGAAAGAAAAACCTACAGCATGTAACAAGAGATCTCTAGCGACGTAGCTAGCTAGTTTACCGTCCACAAAGAACTCTTTTGCAACGGTGGGATGTCGGTGCCCGGCTTCATATGCAGCTTTAGCCGAATGATAAGATCCGAGGAGAGCTGTCAACGTTCCCAGAGCCAAGAGAAAGACAGTACAAGAGGCAGCCATCGTTTCCCCAGCGAAAGAAGGGCGGGGCTAGTAGTTTTGTGCGCATGCGTAGAACGTTAACGTCACTTTAGTGAGCAGCTATAAATAACGCTCTGATTGAATGACGCACCATTTTCACCGAGTTTCTTGCTGAAGACGGGATAAACTTGACAGTGACCTGTGTTTTCTCGGTTTCTGCGCCGCTCTCACGGGTGTGAGAGCGCCTCGCCATGTCGGCCAGAGGGAGAGCGAAAGGTGAGAGAATCGTTGAGTACGGCGGTAGCGCTGGGGCTAAGGGGGCGGGGAACAATATAACGATCCATCTCCCGGTCTATGTAAAGACACTCGGAGGTATCCACACTGGGTAAAGGGCCTGGGACAATAGGCATCGCAGTAACTTATCCCTGGGATACTGAATCCAATGTACCATTTATATTGTGGTGGTGAACTTCATGTATCGTGACATCTCCGTAAACATAGCACTTGGGCATGTGTATATATGCCTATGTTGTGTCATGTTGAAACTCAAAAGTTGTTGTACTGAGGAATACTGCATGTAGTCTCGCCACAGTTTCTGCTGAGACTGTTTCTTTCAGCTATAATCCTAGGTAAGCTGGGTCTTTGAACCAAAGGCTGGGGAGAAGCAGCACTTTTGGGCTAAGCCTGAGAATCAAGAACAGCATCTCTACAACCCACCTGGCACCAAGGATACACTGTATTTCCTGTTGCGTATAATGGTTTTTTCCCTTCTGGGCATGCCCAGGTGTATTTGTAGACGTCCATCCAGTGTGTTTGTAGAGTAAAAACAAACATCCAGGTCTAGGAAGATTGAGAAGTCAGCAGGACAGTATTTCCCTCTTCCTGTGTACATTCTCCCCACACCCCACACCCCACACCCCACACCCCACACCCCACACCCCACACCCCACACCCCACCCCACTGCACCCCTCCCCTCCCCTGGGGAAGTCTGGAACTGAAAGTATGACTCAGCAAGCACACTATCCTGTTTGGTGCACATTTTAATGCACAGATACATGTTTGCCTTTCTTTGCCCCCCACTTGGATCAAATTTCTAAATGAAAGCCCGGTGAAATAATATGGGGTGTTATCTATTGTAGCTTCATGTACCCCTTGCATTTCACTGAAAGCCAAAGCACTAGGGCCATAGATGATTATCTTGCACATTTAGGGGCATAACTATCTGTGTATTGGAAAGGTGTTATGCATAATTGTGGTTGAGTTCTACCATAGTGGTTGTTTTGAGCTAAATTTCAAGGGTAACAGCAAGTAAAGCCTTTTTTGCTGTGTCATGGTTGGGGTTGGTTCAAATAGCTTTATCTCTCAGTGGCTAGCCATGGTATGTATACTAAGGTCTGTAAAACAACAGGTGTGGAATGCAGGAAATTATCACTGAAGTTGGTATGGAGCCACTTCCTCTCTAGCCCTATTCCCACCTCTAGAAAATGTATGATGCAACTCTTAGGCCTCCAGTGCAGAACAGACTAGAGGTGCAAGTCTTCTAATAAACAGACTAGAGGCATAGTATATACTTTGTATATACCCAACTCCGTAAATTGCTGACGAACTGTCGCTCACAAATATGTATAAAATTCTTGGGATCTAAACTTAGGAACGTGTTCATGGGTCCTTTTCCCATTCCTTGGTCATGTTAACTTGCATCAACTCATAGTTTTCCCATTGTGGTATATAATATATACTATATATACATTATAGGTCTCACTAAGTGAGTGGTTTTGTCCGAAAGACTAAGTTTCATGTCCTTGACACCAAGTGCTGGGCTAGTGGTCCTTGTTGTGAGCACATACATACATGACCAATGTTCCCTAGCCTACTTATACATGTGTACCTGCGTGTCAGTCAGGTGTTTCAATTTGTCGCAGTTAGTTTTTCAGGATTTTTCTGTATGACATGCTCTGTACATATGTATATGTAAGGTGTGTGTTTTTGTGTGTAGTGTGGCTGACAGACTTTGTGTAAGTCTGGGCCTTGTGGATACCACTGACAGTGTTCTAGCTAGAAAAATCAATCCGTCACCTAGGGGGGGGGGGGGGGTCTGGGGGCATGCTCCTCCAGGAAACTTTTAGCATTTAGACTCTCAGAGATTGAATCTGGGTGAATATAGGCAAATGTGGTAAACTAAAACACAATACATTACAGCTACAACTAAAGAAGTTACTTCTTTCCTTGCTCTCCTTGCTACTTCCTCACAGCTGGCACTGGGGTCTCTCTGTGCATGCTGACCACCACAGAGGTTCAGTTGGTAAACTATTCGAGTGCTTGCGCATACAGCGGCGGGCTGTTGCAATAGAGCGGTGGAGTGTAACTATAGCACCACTCTTCCGTGCTTTAGCGAGAACCCTGCACTGGGATTAATCTAGCACAGTGTTTGCCCCATATCTGTAAGATGTAGTAGTAGCACTGTGGTCAGAGCCGGGGTGGTAGCAGTACATGGAGGTGTGTGAGCATCTCTCTCTCCAAACTGCCTGATGCAGGAAATCAGCATCCCAATTGTGTACATGTACACTGTGGAATGTCGATATTTCACATGATGAGGTCAAGAGCATTGGGGGATTTAACCTTAGGCACACAGCCAGCCAGCCAGCCACTCAGACAGAAGAGTGTATATAGTATGTATTGGAGACTAATAACATGACCATGTGCATGTGTACTGGGGTGTGCATGTGAGGGAGCAACTTTGGAAATGGTTACACCTCAAAATAATTATACGATGAATGCGAGTGGCGTACACATTATATGTAGCTTTTCCATACACCATTCAAAACCATATATTCAACAACATCCGGGACGTATGTACTATGCACACACACACACATACAAACACAAACTCTTTCATAAATAAGCCATCCATCTTACCTCTGGACAGGAGAGGCCCAGAGCGGTGGCCCCGAGCAGTCGTCACCACCATCTCTACCGGCTCCTGACGTGAAGAAGTTCCAGCAGAGCGTGGCAGATCTCAGTGTCCAGATCAAGGACAAGGAGAACCAGAGAGTATCCCACACACTTTCTTCCTGTCTCCTGTCCACGCACTTTAATTCTTTTTTCCTTTATATCAACATTAGGTGTAGGACATTATATAGTCATGAACATTATTGTTCGTATGGACACCCCAGAGAGTGTAGTATGTATAATACTAGATACCTTTTCCCCACATGTAGTGTATACTGCGTACATACAGTTGTGTATATGACACAGAGCCATGTATGTACATAATGTATATACCTATCAGTCCCAAGATCGATGCTTAAGAGAGTATTGTGGTATTGCAAAAAAAAATTTGCCGCAAAGAGTATTCTTGTGGGGTATTCGTAACATTGTCTCTTTTTCTTTTGTGGGAATACTTCATTCTTTACACTTTCTGTTAAAAACGTATGTACAATGACACAATCTGTTGCGTGAGAAGGGAAAGGCCTTAACTCTTGGCCCCTAGAAGAGGCTGACAACTGGAGGTCAAAACGTGGTTCAGCTGAATGGAGAGCTGACCAGAGTGACTAGTGAGCTGGCCGAGATTGGACACCTCAAGTCATCCACTACTGCCGAGGTGAGTGGAGAGAGAGAGGAAGAGAAGGAGGGGTGGTCTTGATCAAGAAATTCCCCGTGGCATGTGGCAACAACGAGGTAGCAAACAAGTCAACTGCACACAAGACAACTCTTGTTTTAAGAAGAGCTGTCCTAGGTGAAATTCGCACCCACGACATTCTGCAGTCTAGGTGAGCACTCTACCAACTGAGCTACTACCAGGGCCACTCAGCTGGTAGGGGTTCGAATCTACGACACAACACAAGACAAAGGCAAACCTCAAACCAATGTGCAATGTCACAGTTTCACTTAAATTTTCTGGGACATAATTAGAGGGGTTCCCCCAGATTTAAAAAGACCTTATGGTCAGAGATGGCTGGGAAAATGATGGTGGATTACTGATACTGGCTGTTCTACATGACTCAGAACCCCAGATAAACACCCCCTCTAAAGAAAATTTTGTAACACATTGGAAAAAGGAATTTAACTTGTCCATTAGCCAGGTGTTCCGTTTTTCAGGGGCTATTACGAAGAAAAGGTGTTCTTAAGTAGAGAGGTGTCCTTAGAGGGGACTTCAAACGGTGTATTACGTCCACAGGTTCGTGGAGTAGAGGAGCAGATAAAGCAACTCGGGCCTGAGAACAGCAGCAAGGTATTATACATTATACATGCAGTACATGTGCGTAGGTGTATTCTACAATATTGGTTTGTTGGAATTTAATTCAAAGGCAGAAAGCTATAGAAGCAGGGGGAGGTGACCACTTGTAACACATTCACTCCCAAAAGTCCACGGTTGACACCAATTTTGCCCTTAGGTGTGGGGTGGTCACCCTCACTTCTAGATCCCTCTGTTTTCCCCCCTCTCTCTCTCTGTGTGTGTGTGTGTGTGCTCATCTGTTGTGTGCTTTCTCTGTTCCAGAAAGAGGAGGCCAACAAGGTACTGGTGGGGCTGAGATACAAGACCCCCGAGAGGATCGAAGAAGCTCTGAGGTAGCTATTCAATCAACGTGTGCTAAAACAGACAACTCCATCCTCCACCCCCCCATACAAAGCCAAGCTTCCCGAATTCATATTTTACAGGCTTTCATGTGAACAGTTGTGGTATTAAGTAACCATATGTGTTGAAAAAAGCTGTCAGTGCCAGTGAAATTCATGTGTAATACAACACAGCCTCAATTGTACGTAACTCCCACTTCAATTCCTGTATTTGCAACAATCCTGTCTAGTGGAGAGATGAAAGGTTTATTTATCCCTCCCTCTGACTCCAGAAAGTTGCGACAGCAGCAGATGAGCAGACAGTTCTCTGAGAATGAGGAGAAGAGGCTCCAGTCAGAGATTGACACATTGGAGAACTCCAAGGACGAACTGAGGTCAGTGGCATACAATTCTCAACTTGAATGGAGAGTATGATATTGACTGGGACCAACTGTACTGCAAACACTGAACTGCATGTATGGCAGCTAGGAAAGGGAGAGAGGGGAGAGGGGAATAGAGAGACAGGGAGAGAGGGGAGAGGGGAATAGAGAGAGACAGGGAGAGAGGGGAGAGAGGGGAATAGAGAGAGACAAGGAGAGAGGGAGAGAGGGGAGAGGGGAATAGAGAGAGACATGGAGAGAGGGGAGAGGGGAATAGAGAGAGACAGGGAGAGAGGGGAGAGAGGGGAATAGAGAGAGACAAGGAGAGAGGGAGAGAGGGGAATAGAAAGAGACACTATACTGTATGAGACAGGGAGAGAAGGAGAAGGGGAGTGGGTTTTATCTACCACACAAGAGTGTACATGTACCTCTTCCTGCTTATAGCCACACTGTCTCTCCCCCTGTTTGACTTGCATGGTCACTAATGAGCCATGGAACGGTTGATTATTACTGCGCCACACTTTGTAATGCCGTAAACACTCCTCTGTCCCTGTGTGGTGTTGCAGGGAGTTCTTGAAGACCAAGGCAGAGATAGAAGAAATGATTCAGAAACTAGGGCAGCTCCGGGAGAGAAGAAATGTGAGTTCATACCATTAGACCCAGCCTCGGTTAGTATGACAAATCAGATTGTCTGTGTACACACTCTTTGGCTAACTGCAGTCCCTATATATCAACGGCAACTAAACTTGCCCGTAGCCCTGGTTTTAAAGTATGCTTAGCCATGGAACATCACTGACTCTTGTATATATATATATATATATAAGTCTACATACAGCGAAACGTAATAGCTCCAAGTCTTTAGTGATGTAAGGAATACATGTGATTGTCGAAGGGATTGTTACAAGCCTTCCCGCTCTCCCCACATCCTCTCTAGTCGCTGTATCGGAGGAGCAGAGAATTGAGGACGAGGGAGGGAGAGGCCAAGGACAGACAGTCTCAGTTGAGAAGACAACTGGCCGAGGCCAGAGACAAGAAGAAAGGCTTACAGAAACAACAAGACACTCTCACTGAAGGTCAGTGGTCCAGAGTTAACCCACAAGCCATTTCTTTTTCGGTGATCTAACCGAGTACGTGTAATAATCTTCTCTGCAAAATTCTAACTTCCTTTTACGAATGTTCTTTCTACCTCAAGGGTGTCCCGCTGTATTGCATGGTAATCAAAACACCTTTGAACAGAGGGAGTTCAGATCACGTATAATATACAGTTAGATGTCAAGAGAACTAAACTGTAAAAAAATCGGTGCATTTATCTATGGGTAGGGGATCCCTAAACAACTGATTTATCTTTGCATTACCAATTAAAGCAGTAGTGTAACTAGCACTAGGTATCTTTTGCACGTTGTTAAGTGTGCATTATACCAAGTACTGTGTAATGATGGGTGAGTGTCTTTACAATACTTTGCTTTTGTTTGGACATGCAAGCATTTAGGTAAGCGAGGGTGCACTATGCAAGAAGACCCACACATAGTTATTGTATGTTGGTTTATGATCCGATCTCAGAGATTGATGGGCTGTACAAGGCGAGGCAGAGACTGAGAGACGACTTCAAGAAGTACCAGTCGGAGTACCTGACTGCCAACAGCAGGCAGGAGACGGAGGAGAGGGAGAGGGAGAGCGTGCGGAGGGGGGAGGAGAGGAAGGAACGAAGGAAAAGACAGTGAGTCGTAGCAGTAGAGTCTATGTAGAGAGGGAGATAACAGCTGCAAGTAAAAACGTGAGCCGTTTAGTTTACATGCGAGCATGCATGTGTGCATTCACATCATAATGTAGGGAGACTGTGGAATGTGTAGTCGCATTCACATTCACCATTGAATGGTCCTTTGTTTCATACTGTATCACGGAATATTATGAATCAGGGGGTGTCAGTGGAAGGCAAGTAATTAAGCAATTTTCAGCAAAACTTAGGACAACAACATTTTAAAAAGAGCTTCCCTGGATGTGACTCGAACCCGCGACACTCTCCAGTCAAAGCAGAGTCCTCTGCCATTGGGCAACAAGGGCAGTTTGGCAGGCCTGGCAGGCTTGGCTTAAACTGTTTAATACAAGCACATGTATGTATGTATGTATCGTGTACTGTATACAGTGGAACCCCTCTCTAAGGACACGTCTAATAAGGACACCTTTTCTTTCCCCAAAAACAGTTCTTGCATGCAATTCAACCCCTGAAATAAGGACACCTCTCTAATATGTACGCTTTCTTCTGTCCCATTGGTGTCCAGATTAGAGAAGTTCCACTGTATAGTAATGAGACAGATATAACACTAACACTATTACCCAGAGTGTTGGAGGCGGAGATGAGGAGAGAGATGGAGTACGACGAGGAGAAAACAGTGTGCCGGACTCTCATATCTCACCTGGAGAAGATGGTGGAGCACACTGCCACTAATGGAGGTCCTGGTCTTGACCCACAACGTTCCTTCTCCTCACCACCTGCCTACCACACTGCCTCTGGTACGTTATACACACTTTAACATGCCCTACTGTACGCTTCAACCCTACATACACAACTTGACTTTTATCATACCGCCATGCATTCATCCTTATGTATATAAAGGATGTAAAACGTGCTAGATAAAAGTTGTAAGCTGAAGTGATGTTGTACATGTGTCTATAGCGTGGAATGTGTGTGTGTGCATGTTAAATGGTGTGCTTGTTAGTCTTTTGGCTGTCTAGTAGTTTCAGAATCACACACTGTGCGCATGTAAAGTTTTCCCATGGCCACATATATAGTGTTAGCTTTAGTCCAGGGAGCTCCCAGGCAAAGCAAGCCTACCTATAATTGTCTGAATATGCCCATGGTTTTTTTAAATACAGACAGCACGTCACCATACACTGCCATCTTTAACTCTTTTAGAGCAAGCAAATGATGTGCAATAGACATTAACAAGCACCCAGAGGCTGTAATACTAGTTTGACACCACCAAGTCACCAACGTTTTGGTAGTATAATGTGCTGTACCACTAAGTTACACTCTCGCCGTATTATATATAATTATATACATAAACTAGGTGTAGGGAGAGATGGAGGAGGGTTTGAGGAGCCAGGGGAGTTCCTGCCTCGCAAGACAGAGGACGTGGGGGGCTATCTGGTCCCCTCCTCCTCACGAAGAAAGAGCAAAAGAGACAGAAAGAAAAATACCCTCTCTGGCAAGGTCAGTCCAGGCCTGGTGGAACCTCTGAACAATGGACACACACCAGGCATTTTGTCATTTGTAGGGACGTTTCCTCTCTTTTGAGGTTAAAGATTTATGAAAAGTTAACGTTTGGGACCTTAAAGTGTGTCCTTTGTTGTGCTATATTGTCCACTCAGAGTTTCCTTTATCAGAGGTCACTATACACCACATCCCTCCCGCCCTGCCACAGGCCCAGCGCCGACTGCAGTATGATGCAGTGGTGTTCTCCCAGTTTCAGTTCCTGTCAGTAGCTCCTCCCACCAACCTCTCCACTGTACCACAAGTCCTCCAGACTCTCAAAGAGAAACTCGTAAGTAGCTACACGAACCACACAGCGTACGTACTGTAAGAACAGCGTGCATGAACTGTGCAGATGACGGTCAAGGGGTTGCGTACAACTTTGTTGCGTAGGGCAATGAAATGAAGTGTTATTTATTATTTATTATGCAGCATGTTATGTACTTCATGGACAATCGTATATACCATACTTTGATGTTGCATAAGACTGTAGTCTCACACAATTAATTACATGTTGTACATGACTGTATATATGTATGTGATGGTGTCTCCCAGGCATTCTATGAGCACAAGACAAGTACTTGTTCCGAGGCCGGAGACTCCGGTATCAGCAGCCAGGCCCTTGCAGAGCTGGCCGAACAAGACCTCAACAGTCAAGAAGAGTTTGACCACACCTCCCCGAACCGTCATCCCCACAAGCCCCTCCCACTGACCTCTGCTGACCTCTCCCCGCCCCAGAATAACGGAGGGCCGGTCCCTGTCTCTCCCTCCTCGCCCCCGCTCACACCTCGTGCTTCTCCTCCGAGGACAGACGGCGAGGAGAAAGTTCTCCTGCACTCTGTCTCCACGTCCACGACTGCTAGCTCCAATTCAACCACCACTCTAGTTCAACCTTCAGTCGAATGAGAGACCGCAATACAGCACTATACAGAACTCTCTCTAGACCTAAATGTTGTAATTGGCGAGCGGGAGCGAGCTAACCTAGTGGTATATACGAACGGCGCGGAATTTTCCTCATAATTATATATTTATCTACGACCGTACATCGTCCAAGTGCGCATGCTCCAGGATTACGCGCTTCTTTTTATCCGAAATCATTTCAAAATTTCACATGCTGCCTGATATGTGTGTAGCTCCGTACTCTCGCATCAGTCTGAGAGGATGCCATTCGTCGTCGAAGAGAGAGGGAAAGAAAACATCGTGTCAGTGAGAGTCGTGAGCAGGGAACGCGCATATTCTTTACACGCTGCCTAGCTGTCATATCGATGCGAAATCTCAGCGAAACAACTCTCGTCTATTCGCTGGCATTCGCTGCGCCCTTCAATACCTGACCGAGGCTGTATATACCTCTTTCCAATCTTCGTGGTTCTAAGGTTCAAGTTGTAAATAGGCTAGGATGGCTAATGCAGATACAGTCATTGTGTGCTCTAGTAGGCGAATGCATGGCATTTATGGCGAGCGGGAGCGAGCACACAATGAATGACTGTCTCGACGGCAATTCGCCTTGTCTGATAGCTTCGGATCTGTTGGAGCCTGGCCTGTTGCGTTTCCTCTGATTCCGCAGCACGTGTAGCTCTTGCTCATACACGACTTCTCGCTAGTCGTGCTTCCCTTTCTTCCGCTGTTTCCGTGGCCAAGGCGTTGCCTTGCCCGTTGCAGTCGCCGTCGAGAAAGACGAGCCTTTCTTTGCTCAGAAGTCTCACTGGCACGACGTTCTCTCGGAAAGAGCGGAGGAGAGGGCATCTTACTTATCCCATCGCAGAAAGCTTCCAATACACGAGAAATATACGGTGTAAAAAGTTTGAAATGTTTTTCGGATAAAAAGAAGCGCGTGGACGACGTATATACGGTCGTAGATATAGAAAATCCGCGCCGTTCATACCACCACTAGCTAGGTTAGCTCGCTCGCTCCCGCTCGCCAATTATATAGCATGGCAAAGGGAAATATGTTGATCAGTAATGGCTTACTAGTAGGCGAATGCATGACATTTTTGGCGAGCGGGAGCGAGCACACAATGAATGACTGTCTCGACGGCAATTCGCCTTGTCTGATAGCTTGTCTGATTCGCCTTGTCATCCTACAACTTGAACCTTAGAATCACGAATATTGGAAGGAGGTATAGAAAGCCTCGGTCAGGTATCGAAGAGCGCAGCGAATGCCAGCAAATATACGAGAGTTATTTGGCTGGCTATATTTCGCAACCATAGGCAGCGTGTATAACTTTGCGCGTTCCCTATCACGAAAGCGACGCTGATACAAACGAGCCTCTCTGCTCAGAAGTCTCACGGGCACGATGTTCTCTTTCCCACTCTCTTCGACGACGAAGGGCATCTTCATGTGAAATTTTGAAATCCTTTCGGATAAAAAGAAGCGCGTAATCCTGGAGCATGCGCAGTTGGACGACGTACGGTCGTAGTTAAATAGAGGAAAATTCCGCGCCGTTCGTACCACTAGGTTAGCTCGCTCCCGCTCGCCAATTATACCCATTGCAGTGTGACCCATGTTTGGTTTGCCAGTCCCACATCACCTTGGCTCTTTGTACGCCACTATAGGGTGTAGGGATGAGGCAAGCAGAAAAGAAAAGGAGGGTATACACCGGCAGGATAGCCAAAGTACTTATACATTATTGCAAGTTACGATTGATTATGCTCTCACCATTCAAAATAATATGGTATATATAATTATCCATAAGTAATCTATAGGGGTAAATATTATAATGGTGTATTGACACGTGGCGATATAAACCAAACTGTGAGAAATGTGTTGAAACATGACTGCGGTTCTAAATATAGAGTCCAGTAGGTGACAGTGAGTGTGACTGAAAAAGCTAGGAAGCGTACTAGTTGGTAGGTGGTGCACACATAACACAACGATAGCTTTGCATAGAAATGTATGTCTTGATGGTGTGTGGGGTGTTCAGAAAGCCTTGGTAAATTTGGGGCCTTTTGTAATGAGGATTTCTCCGTAGGCGGTGGTCTGCTGGACATGAATGGTGTTCTCTTTGGCCAGGAGAAGGCAGGTGTAAAACCGAGATGCCGCCTGCTTCCGGCTGCATTTCTGTGTGAGAGCCGAAAACGGTGTGTCTGGGCTGTTAGTGAGACTGCGATCCAGCATCTTGAGGACTTGCTGTGTGCGTTTCGTCCACCGGTGCTTCTCGAACTCCTCCGACATCTCCCCGGAGTGTTTATCATCCGACGTGGCCGTTGCTTGAGAGGCTGCGTCGTCCGTCGACAGCCCCTCCAGCTCGGGCATGTCCGGGATGACTCGACTCGCAGCAAGTTCGTCGGGCAGAGGTTCCTCCCCCGGAGGAAATTCACCCCGCTGCTCTACCCCGCCGTCCTCCAAACCAAACTCCCTGTCCTCAAGTGGGACCCCGGTTGTCTCGTTCCCAACGCCATCCAACACTGGCTCTCCGTTGATGGTTGCAGCATCGCCGATACCCGCGATGGTGGAGTCTGCCTCACTCACGTCAGCACCTCTCGCCTTCTCCACCTCACCCACAGTGTCTCGAGTGGCGTTGGCATCCACACCACCCTCCTCCTGTTGCTCCAAGTCAAGGAGCGACTCATCAGTAGGCTCATCGGGAATTGTGCTGGTGTAGTTCCGAGTCACCATCCGGAGTATGTTGGCCGCGATGAAGGGAAACACCGGGCGCACGAACAGCTGCTCGCACGTCGTCATGTCCTTCCACATCATGGCTTTCTTGGTCGGAGGCGGGAAGAGCTTCGGCTGGAGAGTGTCTGAGAAGTCCTCCAGTTGAGAGCGGATGCTTTTCGAGTCAAACTCCTTGTCCTCGTCCACGACAAGTCGTCGCTTGCGTTTCTTTGTCCTTGTCGTGGTGTCTGCGGCCAGCGTGACGTCGACTGGCTCAAGTACGAACCCACTCTCGTCTTCCCCGGGAGGAGGCGGTGGTCCGGGCTGCTCTGAGGTCTGGTCGTGCTCTGCCTGCTCCTCCTGTTGTCTGTCCACTTCCATTGGCTCTTCCTCTCCCTGAGGTTTGGCTGTGGGCGTGATAGAGCAATCATCTCTCCATGCCACATGCAGTATCATGCATACAATGTATGTATATATATATAAGCTGAAAACTGGCTTCTTCAAAGCACAGATTACATGAGCAAAAGTGTTCTTTTATGACGAATAAAGCACTGGCGGTGCCTTTGATCCGCTCACGCAAAGTACAATAAGCATTCAGAAGGCACTATACCCATTCAAGTGAACGCAGATGCATTACATTGATCATTCCATAGAAGGTTTACGTTAATCGGTGCACCACACACAACAGGTACATGTATATCACAGTGCTCACGAGGAGAGCTGGCATCCTCCCTGGTCTGACCACCATCCATAGTGATATCCCCGACACTGGGTACCTCGCCCAGTCCCTCCAGCCCACCGAGCCCTCCCAGGTCCTCCAGGAAATCCCCTCCTCCGAAATCATTGTGGTCTGGCAGTCCTTCTTCCCCCATCCCTCCCTTCCTTCCCCCCTCTGCCAACAGGGTCGAGCTGGCATCTCCTGTCACCTGATATAATGCACACAGAAAAACAGTCACTTGCAAGTGCACGCATATATTTCGCAAAATATATTATGCAGGAATGGAACGCATTATCGACATGTGTCATGGACATTGTGTCAGTGTCTGTTTCTCTACCTACGTACATATTTCTCTTCCACACATTGTTGGCAATACCGTGAATCAACCAGTCTTACAATACATGCTGGAAGCATGCATACAACACCTTCTCTAGAAAGTCAGTTCGAGATGAACGACATAAATTATTCACCAGAATTTCTTGGATTGAGGTGTATGTGTGTGGTACCGACAAACCTGCAGGGAGGTCCTGTCGGTCTTGTCTTTCTCCTCCTCAAAGGTGACGGCCTTCCTCGCCCTCTCAATGTCTTCCATACCTCCACCAAACTCGTCTCCAAACTCCCCAAACTCAGAGAACGGGTCGGGCGCCCCGCCCACACCCCCAGTGAGGTCTTCGGCAATAGTGATCTCAGCCATACGACTCCGGTTGATGGTGAACTGCTCTTCCATGTCCAGAGAACTGTGTGTGTGTGTGTGTTTGTATGGAGAAGATACACCATGCATAGCTGAATCAGTATTTTGTGTTAACTAGAGTATAAATGATGAGCCTTTCAGTACAGGGAGATTAATTTCACCATGTCATTATTACTATAGGTTTGAGACAGGGAGCCCATGTAATCCATGCTCATCACTCAGAATGATACAGCAAAAGGACATTTTTGTGCTTCAAATGTATTGGACACACTACAACTGATGCTGTAGAGACCCAGTAAAACTCAGTACCAGCTACAACTACATGTATGTATGTATGATAGGCACTTTCACAGCCTGAGCGTGGAGTGTGTCATCGTAGTGAGTCAACTGACCCAAGGTCGGCAACAGCCGTCTCAAAGTCATGGAATATCTCAGGCAGAGTGATGGCATCCGTATTGACCACTCCCCCCTCACTGGGCAGATCCACTATACCTGGTCTGGAGGAGAGAGAGATATATATAGGTGGGTAATGAATGGGAAAAGAGGGACAAAACTCACTAGAATGTTTTCTTAAAACTGATATTCCTACTATTCCCGAGAGCATGCTGTCGGTTTGTGATGTGCACATAAACTGCAAAACTCTCCTTTGTTAATTTACATACGTACAGCCTCATATGCACCTAAAGGGACCGCAATATACCAGCACAACCAACATATCTGATGTATTGCCAGACTCTCTTTTGTATGGGAGCACACAAGGGTGTGGACACAAGACTAACTGTTCCCCCAAACCTTCAAAAGTGGCTCCCTCGACAGATTCCCACCATAGACATTTACAACAGAGTGTGTAACAGTATATACCTGAAGGCCATTCTGATCTTGGCACAGGCCTCTCCCAGGTCGTGAATGAGGTACTTTTGTTTCCGAGAGTAGATCCTGACCACTCCCAGGAGGAGGTGGCCAGAAGTCCTCAGAGCCATACGGACCTACAGTACAGATTAACAACAGCAAACAGAGTATATAGTAAGAAGAGAAGAGAGTAGTAAGATAATGCATACAGGGGCAAGGTGTGGAAAAGTCCATATGGACCTGAACAGTGACATAAGTGAGTACACAGTGGCAAGGTGTGGAGACATAAACAGTGGAGTTAGTAAAAGTTCACACTGACCTAACCAGTGAAGTGCATGAGGTGGGGGCAGGGTGTTAAACATGTATATACACCCTAGTTTACAACATTTTGCAGACACAACACTACACATAATATTTAGGTGGTCCTCCCTCCATGATGTAACATTGCATCATACGGTGGTGGGCTGGGCTCCACCAACATATTGTGACTGAGGTGAGCCAGATTTGCAGTATAGTAATGCCAACACAGACCTTTGGTGAGATGATGTCTTCAACTGTGGCTGAGACATCGGTCTCAAAGACGTGAGCCTTGGTCAGCTTCTTGTCCCAGTGAGCCGCCAGCCACACTTTGGCCAGCGGACCCTTCTTGGCCAATACATAAGCACCATAGAACATCCTGTCACCTCCACTATCTGTGCGTTCGTGCATAAATTGTTGATACCATCATGGTGTGCTTTCATTGGAATGTAAGCACCCACGCGAAAACGCAAGGTTTCTACAGTAATGGTACACGCACCTAAACTGTAAAAAGTCAGAGAAACCCACTGCATACGACAAACCTATAAACTCTGGCTCCTTCTTATACGCGCTCTGATTGCCCTCGGGCACCCCGTAGGCTTTTTGGCTTTCTTACCCTAGCACTAGCTCGCGAACTGGTCAACTCTTACCTGCTCGGTTCCAGAGTTGTGTTCAGTGAGGACTGATCCGTTCTTTCTCCCCTGGAACCACCAGCTGTCCGGAAAATGTCTCTGAAAATATCGCCCGCCTTTTGCTTATGTGTGAAGTTCAAATCTTCGCAATGCGCATGCGCGTACTGGGAACCAAAGTGCTCTAGTGGGCGGGGGCGCGCCAGCGCGCGCGAGCGCGAACAAAGGAAAATGCGACGCTCAAGAATGGAACTTTATATTGAATAATACCTGGACATCCCAGCATAGATTGCACATTTATGCGGATGGCTGCACGACTGTATTCAATCGGATTTCTTGGAAGTGGCAAAATGGCTACAGCGATGGCTAGAGGATTGATTTCTGCAGGTGATCGAGCATATAATAGTGTTTGTTGTTATCTCGATGCACGTGTGTAGCTATGGGAAAGCGGTATAATGATTATTGGCGGTGTGTGTATACAACATTTCAGGCCTAGTTCGTCCAGAAGATATTACAGCTTCAGCCACCAGTGACACCTCACTCAACCTCCAGAGAATGAAGGTCAGCAATTACTCTCTAGCTAACTGACAATTCACAAATTATACAAATATACAACTGTTGTGTGATATGTTTAGTTGTTGATTCATTGAAAACTATTGGACAATTTTCTATAGAGAAGGCATATTGAACCATGACCATTAATTGGTGATTTTGGTGATTTAAGACAAGGCGAAAAAGCATATCCATGTGGAACCTTACGTATGTAATAGGAATTCATAGATGTGGCTTACACATGGACCACATTATCGCTTCCTTTTGTCCTAGCATAACAGATGTACAGCAGCCAACAGAATAAACCAAACAACATCTGAGTACATACTTGTAGTATGCACCATCATACTAGCAAACAACCACCTATACAAGACTTATCAACAGCAGCCATGTATACGCATACTGCCCACTAAACTGGGTCTGTGCCAAAGAGTGTGAGATGGAAGAACAAGTTCCAGCCCATTTGGTACATGCATTATGGTTTGATGGTAAAAACTCTCGAACATTTTTGCTTTCGATTGCTGTCACCATACATTGTAGTAGCCCTCAACAAATATCCATGCATGGCTTTTAACCACAAACATTTTAGCTACTCCCTTAAAAATTATTTCCCGTGATTCCGTATGTTATAACAGCTAGTGTCTGTGAAATGCTAATCCCACTGCAGGGACATGGCGTCAGAGTGACATCAGACAACAGCGAAGTGGTACGGAGGAGCAGCGTGGTCTGGATTGCCACCAAGCCTCACACAGTGGCCCCCGTCCTGCGGGAAATCAGTCCCGTTGTCCGCAGGGACCAGCTCTTTGTGTCTGTGGCAGCAGGGACGACACTCAACTCCCTGGCCAAGGTGAATTGCGTCTCCTTTACCTCTTCCTTGGCAGAGGCTGAGTGCGCATTAATAACTATGTCTTTGTAGTGGTCTTCTGAGAATGCATATTATTTTTTCACAAGCATTTGTATGTAGGGTCCCAGAGTGGGACACATGGGGTATAGATCAGGATGTCGTAGATTCGAGTCCCAGCCACACTTACACTTCTGAACAAAGGACACCTTGAGATAATTATTAAAAGTGTCCTTTATTCATAAGTGTCCTATACCAACATGCGGTGCAAGTGGGAAGATGTGTCCTTTATTCTGAAGGCCTTTTCAGAAGTTTCACTGTAGTTAGCAGTTAGCTTGCATAATATTAATGTCAGTCCAGCCACAGCCAGACCACTTTGGCTGATCTTAGGTATCATGTTATAGGCATGGGGGGCTCTTGCATGTGCATGAAGTAGAGATGACCTCAAGGATACTGTGTGAATGAGTGGACTTACATATGACTCCATTAGCCTTGGCACATGCAGTGCATTCATGTTCATTACCAGCAAGGGTTGCTTTGTCAATCTGTCTGTCTGTCTATCTGTTCCACTTCTAGCAGCAGCATTATTCATTTCTACACCTAACTCAATGTAGGTGATGCCCCTCTTTTTACAGCTTTACTTGGTTTTTGACTCAGATAAGGAATGCCTTCCAGTGTTAAAAGTTAAAGGTTGTGGGTATATATATATATAGTTGTCATTGATACATGCACCATCCTGCACAATAATGCATGTGAAAACCTGGAAATGTTTCCGACAACTGTGACGTGCATCTAAAAAATAATTAAAGTCACGTGAAATATAAAAACGAACAATTATAAGCCAATTACACTATACATCTGATTATAAGTAACAATTGTCTCTTCGTCACATTTTACATTTTTCATAAAGAACCTTCCAGAAGGGACAAAGGTGGTGCGCTGCATGCCCAACACTCCGGTGGTGGTACGGAGTGGTGTCACGGTGTACTCGAGGAACGGAACGGTGAACGGAGAGGACAAGGAGTTGGTGGAGCACATGTTGGGCTCAGTGGGTCTCGGTATGGAGATGCCAGAGCACTATATGGACATAATCACCGGCCTCACCGGCTGTGGACCTTCCTATGTGAGTGGGTACGATGTTGTGATGCTGTGGACCTTCCTATGTGAGTGGGTACGATGTTGTGATGCTGTTTGTCTACCTGTACATTATTATGGAGCGTGGGTGAGCATTGGTAGAGCACTCGTCTAGAAAACAGCTTGGTGGGTTCAAGTCCCACCTAGGACAGCTCTTTGAAACTATGTTGACTTGTTTGATATATGCATTGCCTTGCGTTCAGGTAGGGAGTTACCAGGGGCAGTGACCACCAACAGTCTATACTTAGAAAGGTAAAGAGGGAAGATAGGGTCTTGACAGGGAGTTTTGACTCAATGCTTATACTCTTCCCAGTTCGCTGTGTCTGAGATTGATTCCCAGAAAATTATGCTTTCTTGCTACACACCTGATAATACTATACTTCCTGGCAAAGAAGGAATTATCATCGAAAGGCTTTGCTGTTTGCAATCTAATCTTGAATCAATGTGTCTTGAACTACGTTTCAACTTGCAAGCAAGTGTAATAAATGCTGCAACTAAACCTCAGCAGCTAACAATCGATCATCATCCAGTTGGGTGTTGAAGTGGTATAAATACGGAGCTCCTGTCATAAAGGAATACAAGTGCTTGTGAATGGACAGACAGACAGCCACTTCACTGGATAATCTTCAGCATGCTTGGTTGCAACACAGTGTGGATTATCTCTGAGATCCTATTCCAAGTGGTTGAAGCTTGAACCTGTCTGCCTTCGAAAGCTCTATGTAGCTTTTCCCAGAAATGCCAGCCTCTCTACAGTGCTCACAAAGCTAAATGACTTTTATGGAGAGCTTTGGACCTAAGCATACATTTTTCATAGTACGTTGTGCATACAGACTGCTGTAAGCTCTGGCTCGTGTGCAAGAGGAGGATGAGGGAGAGAATGTTCCGGATCCCTCCCTGGCTCATTCCTTGTTGTCTACAGGATCGGGAGGAGCAGCTAGGAAGGAACGGACCAGTACACCTGAATCACGCCGTTTCACTGATGGATCTTGCCACGGTCGGAAATATTTGAGGTTTTCATAGGAGGACACAGCTTTGCGTCATTTTTCAACTGCTGTTATAAGCCATTGATTCGTAGCTCTATATAGCAACTCCCTTCATCTTCAACATAAAACTGCCTTTTCTGCACACATGCGCATCATGGGTTGAGCACATGTAAGACATGCTTATTGGATAGCCCTTACATCATGCACTTGGCTTGGGCACACATGCCAAGCAAACACACATGTATATACACAGAGTATATACGTACCTAGTAGTATAGTGTGTTTTAGTGTGGGCATTGAACTATGTACTTGAACAGATATTAGCTATAAGTACCTCTTTCACCAGTTAATAAAACACACACATTATTCTGTGCTATAGATGTATGTGATGCTGGATGCTCTAGCTGACGGTGGGGTGTACGCTGGGATACCTAAAGAGATCGGTCTGAGACTCATCGCCCACACCATGATTGTGAGTGCTGCAAACAATGAGCGTCTGGCAAGAATAGAATGCCATACCTGGTAGTGGCATATGCTATTCTGACTAGACTCAATTTTGCAGCAAAACAAGCCCCTATACAATTGTCAGGGTCCAAACTGCGCGATATTTCTGTTTGTATACGGCATTGTCCACACCGTAATAAATTGCTAATACATGTAAATAAAACCACTAATATTTTGCTTAATGCTAATGCTAATATTACTTAATGCTAATTCTAGTCATAAATGAAGCCATGTCAATAGCGCTACTGTATGTTTGGTGCAGGGAGCAGCAAAGATGGTTCTTGAAAATGGAAAACATCCGCAAGAGGTATATAAGTACCATAAAAGGTCAATCATAATCACTTAGTAGTATAGAAGATCAGGAATTTTGCTTAAATCGGACGAATGAAAAGCACTGAAGTGCAAACCCTCGGCACACTGTGACGCGCACGCGTAGGACCATTATGGCGACGAAGTAACAAGTTTATCATTGTGTGTATAATTTGCCTTTTGAATTGCATACGTCATTACTCTCCCTTAACCTCTCCACTGTAAACAGCTGAAAGATGACGTGTGTTCTCCGGCCGGTACGTCAATCCAAGCCATAAGGACTCTGGAGAAGGCAGGTTTCAGAGGAATAGTCATGGACGCGGTTCACGCTGCCAGCAAACGAGCACTAGAACTCTCAAGACTAGACAATGGAGAGACTAAAGATGTCTACGTCAAGAGATGATCACACTTCTTTTTATAGTATCTGTTTGCCTATATATACACTGCCATGTGTGACTTTGACAAACTGTGCATTGTGATGAAATTTTTTTCAGTTCAACTATTTCACACGTGTATCTAATAGGGTCACACACATTCATACAAATATAATCATCACATAACATGAAAATAGTATCCGAACCTCACCTCTAGTATATACGGGCTCCACCTACCAAATTCCGCAGACTAAGGACGCATGTGATGATGTTGATTGGCCGTTTCGGGATCTGATTGAAGATCTCGATTTTGAGATCTAGGACCGAGAAATAATAGTTACCAGACCCCTTTTCCACACGAGTGGGTAGGGTTTGGGCACGAGACTAAAGAGTATATTAATCCAACCGGGCCACAGACTACAGATGACAGTTTTGAATGGATATGCCTGACCCCATGTGATGAGTGGGTGTGGTCTAGTTGGGATTAAGGCAAGGCAACAAGGTAATGAGATAGAAAGGCATGGATAAGCAAACAAGTCAATTACACCCAGCGGGACAGCTCTTTCAAAAAAATAAGAGCTCCCCTCATGACACTCTGCAGTCTAGGCGAGCACTCTACCAACTGAGCAACTCAACTGGTAGGGGCTGGCTTTGCGAGACCATATAGTGGAAGAGGAAGAGTGGGGCCTCCATAAGGACCTGGGAAACTCTGTGGTCTGGAAGAACTTGGTACGACTTTCTCAGTATTGTTACAAAGCGAGTAACAGTCAAGACAAAGAAGGGTGCACTATAGTTGTCTGTGGCTTCCCCCCTTCAAACAAGTGCATGTGCATAAGCTGCCATATTAGTACACAGTCTACTGCACACGGTGGCAGCCCACACTTTTATGGATGAAATTCATTGGTATTACTGAGAACATCCTTTTTCTCCATTGTATAAGTGGACAAGGAAGTGAGTTTGCTGACTTCCACACATGCACACTGCTGCTGCCAGTGATGGAGATGTCTACTGGAAATAAGATCTTATGTATTGTCATTTCTCTGTGGTGTACATTTTATTACACTCGATTAGAATGTGTGAGGGGAATTTATTTACTCAGGATTTAATCACCTCCATATTATTGCATGTGGTGAACTAACTCCAAATTACAATGTTTGTGGGGGAATTTTTAAACATGCTCTAATGGACATGGAAGCTTAAAAGGTTAGATACATACAGCTACGTATTTGCAACTCCTGGAAACATTCCATGTTGCAATATAAATCATAAGTGTGAAGTGTGACAGCAATAAGTCGTGGCAATGCGTTTGGTTAAAGCCCCTACAATGAAGGAAATAATTTATCTCTGTGTAACATACAATGTTAGGTGGCAGTAAACTCAGTGGACCCTACAATCATACTGACAACCGAGTGCTCAATTGACTGCCTATGTACCATGGTTAGTCCTGACCACAGCTTATGAAGAATACACTTTTTACCTACCACAGCAAAGTAAACTATTTGAGGCCAGCAGGGGTTAAGAAAGGAAGGCCAATAGGGACAGTCACTATCACAAAAAGAGAGTACCCATTAGGGATACACAAAAATAGATATGCAGTCATGGCACAGTGACAGGCACACTAAGAGACAGAAGTAAGGGAAGATAGAAGCATAAAGGCTGTTTTAGTTCCGATCCCACAGAAAACAGATGGTCATCGCCATTTATGAGAAGGGAAAGAAGGTCAGAGTCTCTAGCTAGATAGCTTCTCGTTACAGAGGGAGTTCATTCCAAACATGCACAGTGAGGGTTACAGTGTGTGTGTGTGTGTGTGTGTGTGTTTGTCTGCAGCTATTCTGGCAATATCAACGGATATTCAGAATTACCAGCCCGTGACAAGAAACGACTGTGTTCTTGACAAGAGAAAGCGAAAAAAAGCTTAGTTACCACAAGCACATTTAGCGTACCGCTGAGGGATGAAATTACCCAAGGCATGCGTATCTAGTCCAAACTTGCTATATACTTCACTGATGCAGCGAGCCTGTGTTTCGGTCATAATCGTGGATGGCCTTCTCACTTCAGCAGGATTCTAACGCGCAAGGTGGACCACCGCGCATCCGGCATGAAGGTCCTTGATAACCCTCCGAGGAAGGCCCCCTCCCACCCCCCCCCCCCCGAGTCCCCGCGCGAAGAGCGTCTCCGCCGACGGGTTTGATCGACCGAGCAGCGCGGTGACGGTGCTTTATGCGCATGCGTATATACTTGCTGGGTGTCGGTGGGTGGGGAGAGGGGGGTGAGGGGAGTTTAGTTGGACGAGAAGAGAGAAATGGTGTGGGGGGGAGGTTCTGGGTAAGTGGCGCATGAGGTTGGGTGGAGAAGGGGTTGAGGAAGGGAAAGATAGGGAGATAGGATTGTGGACATGATGACAGAAGTGAAGAGAACAGTGGTAAAGCGAGGGACGGGAGAAGGGAGAGGGAAAAGGGGAGGGGTGCAGGTGCTATGAAGGAGCAAATGAAGGATAATGGGATAGGGTGGGGATGACTTGGCGCAGGAAGGAGAGAAGGGGAAAGGTAGGTGAGTAAGAAGTGGGTAAGATGGAAGAACTGGTGAGATGAGGGAAAGGGTAGAAGGGGGGAGGGGAGGGGGAGTTAGAGTGAAGAGGAGTAGACATGACGAGGGAGGGGAGGCGCGGCTCCGCAAACAGAAAAAATATGAGAGAGAGGTGATCAGCTGCGAATGCGCAGCGAGGGTCAATGCTGGCATTGTTTTTTAACAACTTATATAATAAACTTCTTTAACGACTTATAATAATTATAATAGCTTCATCGAACATTAACGACACCTAAAATATCCGACAAGGTCGTTAATGAAGGTACGCAAACTCGAAATTGTAGTGCTGGTTTTGAAACAGTAGTTGTAAAGATCTTGTTTACAATCGGATATTCGTTCTGTTGCTTCATAGTAGAGCCATCGACAGATTTCCGTCATATTGTCGTCGTTGTTTCCCAGGGCATCAAGTACTGCAACCTTGCACGCAGTGTCCAATTCATTCGAATAATCGTCAGCACTCAGTCGCCATTTGGCAATGGTATAGTTATTGGCCTCATCCCCGAGGAAGGTTTCGTTCAAGGCACCCCTCAGATTGATCAGCAGAGGCTTAACACTGCAACAAATTCCCTCATTGCTTTCTTCTTCGAGCGTTGATACGGGGCACATAGACGCCGTCAGCGTCAGAATGGCACCCAACGTAAACACACATGCCCAGAGCGCTTGCTGGTGATAGGAGGTCATTATCGTTGATCGTCGACTCTTCTTTGGTAGAACTGTGTTGGAAACGGTTTTTCCGCATGCGCCTGCGGCTTTATACAAACCATCACGTATGCGCACAGTATTCGCTGCGCGTTGGATCCGGGAAGCAATCACCGAAGAAAGAATTGCACTTTCAACCTTATAAGAAAATTGAGTTACTATCACTGGGGTATAAAAGCACCTCCAATGCTGTGGAGAGACAGCAAGAAGATATCCTATCAGTCCTCTACACTAATATTTTATATCAGAAAATGGCACAGTACATCTTTATAGCTACTCTTGCCTTCTGCATTGGAGCCTACCTGGCTACAGGAATGCCCTCTCATCAGATGGATACTGAAACTCGGAGTTTCCCACCTATCTCGGGAACTACTCTACTACCTCTGAACTCAAACTCAACTGCATACTATGTCTGCCGCTTGAGTGCTCTACTAAAGTTTTCTGAGTATTTGGTGAGTTTGTGTTTACATTTCCGTGTTCTTTCCTATAATGTTTTTTTTCCTTTTAGTCCAACAATGCCACACATGAGGATGTGCGAAAGGGCCACTGGAAAACATTTACACAATTGGAGGACATACAGATTGTTATGCAAGTGAGTAATACCATTTATACAGTCCACACTATATACTTCCTGTATATACCTTTACGGTGATCTATTTTTTTACAGAGCGTTGGGGGATCTATAGAAGATCGAGTTTCCACTTGTTATTCTCTCTACAGTGGTAGCTGCACCAAATGAACGATTCACCAATAAAGACTCATCAGCAACTATGTACACTTATTACAATTCTCATTTTGCCATAACTTGTCACGACACAAAAAGCGCGCGTATATGCGCGCACACACGCCATAATTTTGGTGAGAGAGCGCATGCTGGTTGCGTGCGCGGTAAGACGACCGTGATGTCGTCCCGCGTAGGGCCAGTTTGCAGGTGGACGATCCAAAATGGGTCTGAATTCAGCATTATCAGGCATGCGAGTCGTAAGAGCAAGATGGCGAGGAGATTGGGGAAGCCGAGAGCAATTTGCTGCTATACTTATGAAATCGAATGCAAGCCCAGCATATGTACCAACCTGCAAATAAAATGCAACGCCGATAAGGGTAGGCGGGTTTTACCCTTTCAGCCTTGGTATATAATCATAACAGGGGGTGTACGTGTATTTTTGCTTGAAAAGACTGTGTGCCCATTCATAATGTATGGGCATGATGTATCACAGGTTTGCACAAAAAAGATGGATTTGGGGATTTTCTGGTGGGATAGCATGTTTTGCTTGCATATCAACAAAGCTGGTCTGTGTAGGTATTGCCCAGTAGTGGCTTTTGGTTGCCTCGCTGCGCATGACACGCCAGTGTTGTTCACGGTTATCTGTTGCCTCACACCGCACCGACGCGATTAATTGAGCAGTTGCAGCCATTTATATTGCCCTACTTGGTGCTGCCTGTCAGCAGTGCCGCTACACACCTGATATATACTTCCTGCCAAAGAAGGAATTATCATTGAAAGGCTTTGCTGTTTGCAATCTAATCTTGAATCAATGTGTCTTGAACTACGTTTCAACTTGCAAGCAAGTGTAATAAATGCTGGTTTTTACAACACTACCTTCTTGCAACTAAACCTCAGCAGCTAACAATCGATCATCATCCAGTTGGGTGTTGAAGTGGTATAAATACGGAGCTCCTGTCATAAAGGAATACAAGTGCTTGTGAATGGACAGACAGACAGCCACTTCACTGGATAATCTTCAGCATGCTTGGTTGCAACACAGTGTGGATTATCTCTGAGATCCTATTCCAAGTGGTTGAAGCTTGCACCTGTCTGCCTTCGAAAGCTCCATATAACTTTTCCCAGAAATGCCAGCCTCTCTACAGTGCTCACAAAGCTAAATGACTTTTATGGAGAGCTTTGGACCTAAGCATACCTTTTTCATAGTACGTTGTGCATACAGACTGCTGTAAGCTCTGGCTCTGCAAGAGGAGGATGAGGGAGAGAATGTTCCGGATCCCTCCCTGCCTCCTTCCTTGTTGTCTACAGGATCGGGAGGAGCAGCTAGGAAGGAACAGATCAGTACAGCTGAATCACGTCGTTTCACTGATGGATCTTGCCACGGTCGGAAATAATTGAGGTTTTGATGGGATGACACAGCTTTGTGTCATTTTTCAACTGCTGTTATAAGCCATTGATTTGTAGCTCTATATAGCAACTCCCTTCATCTTCAACATAAAACTGCCTTTTCTGCACCCATGCGCATCATGGGTTGAGCACATGTATATAAGACATGCTTATTGGATAGCCCTTACATCATGCACTTAGCTTGGGCACACATGCCAAGCAAACACACATGTACACAGAGTACATACCTAGTAGTATAGTGTGTTTTAGTTTGGGCAGTACTTGCACAGATTTAGCTATGAGTATCTTTCTCACCAGTTAATAAAACACAAACATTATTCTGTGCTATAGATGTATGTGATGGTGGATGCTCTAGCTGACGGTGGAGTGTACGCTGGGATACCAAAAGAGATCGGACTGAGACTCATCGCCCACACCATGATTGTGAGTGCTGCAAACAATTGTTTTCAAGCGAAACAAACCCACCTATAACCCAAATTGTCAGGCTCCAAAGCTGAGCATATTTCTGTTGTATACCGCATTGTTGCCACACCGTAATAAATTGCTTAATATTACATGCTATATAAAACCACTGATATTTTGCTAAATGCTAGTAATGATGCGCTTCATTCATTGTCATAAATGAAGCCATGTCAATAGCACTACTGTATGTTTGGTGCAGGGAGCAGCAAAGATGGTTCTTGAAAATGGAAAACATCCGCAAGAAGAGTATATAAGTCAATAAAAAGGTCAATTCATAATCAATTTAGTAGTATAGAAGATCAGGAATTTTGCTTAAATC